TAGTACAATCCGCACAAATAAATTATTATTATCTGAGTCTGAACGATCCTTTATTTTGAAAAATCTTTTATTTTGAAAAATGAACGTATTCTCCTGTTACATCTCAGTCACTTGAGCATTAAAATTTAACCCACAGGCTAGCAAGATGAGTTGGAACTGCAGCACGATGCACTTGGGTATTCCAGGCGTGCCCAGTTGAAAACATCGTAACTTTTCAGAATCACGCTCCGCGAGTCACATGGTCAAGTTGTCAAAGTTTATCAATATGAATATGCCTCGTTTTTGAACTGTGCAGTGCTGTAGCTGCTTAATTTGGCCAACTACGCTACTTTATTTCAATACTAGTCATTTTGGTGGTACTTGGAGAGACGATTGTTTTTGAGGTGGTACTTGGTGAAAAAAGTTTGAGAACCACTGCTCTACATAAATGAAGACAGCCCATTTTGAAACTGAATATATTTCTCCATTTCTCAGTGAATATAGGTTATATACTTGGGTGCATTTGAACAAAACAGATTTATTAAACAGATATATGTATTCAAATAATATTTTATTTACTTAATATCTTTAGAAATATAAAGATAATACATTTAAAATTATGCAAAATATTTTAATTCAACAAAGTTTTATTATTTTTTTATTCTCTTGAACTTTGCTCTTTCTAAATGTTTCGTTTAAAATTTTTCTCTCTGTTTTTATAAATTTAGGTGTGCTAAACTTGGACTGTTATCATGAGGTATTTCGTTAGATACGCTTCAGATTTGGCTTCAGTATTGACTAATCTAATGTAGAAGCACAAATATAATATGGTAGAGCTTCATATTTAAAATGAGAGATTTTCGAGGAGTGCACTCGTATATTCTGTATATCAAAATGACTTTATTTTGCTGTCAGTATTTCAGACTGTAAAATTATTGGTTTAAATTTCATAAAATCTGACCTGGACATTTGTCTCACATCAAGATTTGTAACCAATAATCAAAGTGTGACATCTTTTGTTTTTGGATATATTGTATATATATATATATATGTGTGTATGTATGTGTGTATGTATGTGTGTATGTATGTATGTATGAATGTATGTATGTGTGTGTGTGTGTGTGTGTGTGTGTGTGTGTGTGTGTGTGTGTGTGTGTGTGTGTGTGTGTGTATATATATATATATATATATATATATATATATATATATATATATATATATATATATATATGTATGTATGTATGTGTGTGTGTGTGTGTGTGTGTGTATATATATATATATATATATATATATATATATATATATATATATATATATATATATATATATATATATATATATATATATATATATATATATGTATGTATGTATGTATGTATGTATGTTATGGATAAATATATTGGCTAATTTTACAAGTTTGTTTGGTGTAATTGAGTTTATTTGCTGTCAGTATTTCAGCGCTGCAGTGGTTGTGTAACGCAGACAAGAAAACACACAGTCCACCAAAGAGACTGTACCGCTTCTTCAGCACATTATACTCATCGCTGGTGAGTTTGTTTTTTTTGTTTGTGTTTTTCACACACTGATTTTCATCTCACACCGACTAACTCAGCATATTGTTTGTGTCTTTGTAGGCGAGAGGAGCGCGTGCTGTTTTCCAGATATACCCTGAAAACTCCGAGCAGGTCAGTACATCCAGTTTTTGTCTGGTTTCTTGTCCAGAAATCTCAAAATACTTAAATCAAGAAGCTTTTTCTAGACAAACACTAATTATGGTTTGGTTTTCAGAACTAATTAGTCAAAATTAAGTGAGTTTTTCCTGAAAACAAGCAAGTGAGGCCTGCAGATTAATGTGATTTTAAAGCAAAGACAAGATTACTTTGCTTATCCCGTTGGCAGATTACACTACCTGACAGAATTCTTGTCTCCTATTCAAATTTTAGGAACAGCAAATAATAACTTGACTTCTAGTTGATCATTTGGTGTCAGAAGTGTCTCTATGAAAGGTAAAGGCCTCTTGATTTTGCTTATTTGAGCTCAATTAAATCTGATCATGCCTTGATTAATGATTTGATGAGGACAGTGCGGTCTGACTCTGCTCAGACTAAAGTCTCATCACTGAACAGAAATAATGTCCAGTATAGAATATAAAGTCCTGCTGCAGTGGAGACAGAATGAATATTGTGTCTGACTCCATCATGAGCTTGGAGGACTGCATCCATACATCTCTGACATGACTCACATCACTGATTAATAAAGTCATCTGGGATGAAGAAGAAAGCGTTCAGCAGGACTCACAGACCTCATCAAGAGTCTTTGTTTTTCATCTTCAATGCCTCCTCCTTCATCATTAGCTCAATAATGTTTATGTCTGGTGACTGGGCTGGCCAATCCTGGAGCAGCTTGACCTTCTCTGCTTTCAGGAGCTTTGATGTGGAGGCTGAAGTATGAGAAGGAGCGCTATCCTGCTGGAGAATTGTCCCTCTCCTGTGGTTTGTAATGTAATGGGCAGCACAGATGTCTTGATACCTCAGGCTGTTGATGTTGATCATCCACTCTGCAGATCTCTAGCATGATGAACCCCAAACCATGATTTCTCCTTCACTAAACTTGACTGATTTCTGTGAGAATCTTGAGTCCATGCTGGTTCCAGTAGGTCTTCAGCAGTATTGGTGATGATTGGGATGCAGATCAGCAGATGATTCAGCAGAGAAATCCACCTTCTGATACTTTAACACATCATCAACTAGACGTCAAGCTATTATTGTTTGTCTTACAACTACGATCAATGACGAGACTCTTGTCAGGTAGTGTAATTTGCTTGTTTTAAGGAAAAACTCACTTAATTTTAACTCATTATTTCTGAAAACAAGTCATTATTTGTTGATTGTCTAGAAAATACTTCTTGATTGAAGTATTTTTAGATATTTGGACTAAAAACAAGTGCAAAAAGTAAGAAAATAACCGTTTTTTGCAGTGTATGTTGTCTAAAAAAAGGAATATAAATTAATCTGAAAGCATGGCACCATTTTAAAATTTTGTCCAAAAGTCATTTTATGCTCAAAGTGACAACTCTCGAAAAAATATTAGATCAAATATCATCAATAATTGCCACAAAATTATGTTTCATCCAAATACATCTCTCAGTTTAATGATCAAATCAAGAAGCAGTATTCGAAGCTGTTGCACAAAGGCTTTTTTTCCCCAGTCCAGCAATCAAAACCATTATTTTGTACTGATTTATTAATAAAACATAAATAGTCATCAAATATTTAATATCAGCTATTTTAGTTTGGTGAATCCTTACAAATGAGATATGAAGTTTGCTATCGTTTAGTGCTACACAATATATGTTTTCAGCATTGATGTCGCAATGTGTACATCCACAATAGTCGCATCGCAGGAAGAAGTGCAATGTTGACTATATGTTTGCATTCAAGTTCACAACCAGAATATCGTTGGATTCACTGAAGAGTTTTAAGCATAATGGAGTGAAAGTTTATTAGTTTTGCATGTGTTTTTATGGTCAGTGATTGTAAGTGTTCAGGCAGGAGAATTTAAAGATGTATTTTTTTATTATCTATACAATGCATTGTTGTTTTCATCCATTCATTCATTTTCTTTTCGGCTTAGTCCTTTTATTAATCCGGGGTCGCCACAGCAGAATGAACCGCCAACTCATCCAGCACGTTTTTACACAGCGGATGCCCTTCTAGCTGCAACCCATCTCTGGGAAACATCCACACACACTCATTCACACAGACACTCATACACTACAGACAATTTAGCCTACCCAATTCACCTGTACCGCATGTCTTTGAACTATGGGGGAAACCGAGCACCCGGAGGAAACCCACTTGAATGCAGGGAGAACATGCAAACTCCACACAGAAATGCCAACTAACCCAGCCGATGCTCAATTCAGCGACCTTTGTGCTGTGAGGCGACAGCACTACCTACTGCGCCACTCACAGTGTTGATTATTCCTTTTCTATACCATCTAAAACACTTCCATCTTCCCAATAATAATCCAGAATAACCCTGTACTCTTCCCAATAAATTCCCAATCATTCATGCTTAGTTATTTGCTTCACCTCAGAAGACTGTAGGCTTTACTTTTTGTGTGTTTTGTGTTTTTTTCCTCTCAGTTGGAGCTGATAACGGCTCAGGCCATGAAAGCTGGATTTACAGGCGGGATGGTGGTAGACTATCCCAACAGCAGCAAAGCCAAAAAGTAACTCATCTCATAACAGCTAGTTAATGTCAGGATCATTATGTTTAATGATCGGGATTATTGTAATGTATGGCACTGCATTTATGTCTCTCCATAGGTTTTTCCTGTGTTTGTTTGCTGGTGTTTCAGGTGTTTTACCCAAGGTATGCACATCCTCATTGTGGACAGACACACACACACACGTTTGTTTTTGTGAAAAGTGGGGACATTACATAGGTTTCCATTCATTTTATACTGTCCAAATCGTACATTGTATTGCCCCAACCCCTAAACCCAACCATCACAGGTGACTGTGTGCAGCTTTACTCTGATTAAACCCGTTCTGTAGGATTTATAAGCTTTTTGAGAAATGAGGATGTCACCAATGTCCTCATATTTCCTCCTTTTTGTAATACCTGTGTCATACCCATGTCATTATACAGATTTGTCTCCTGATATGTCAAAAAAACATGTACACACACTAGGGTTGTAACGGTATGAATTTTTTACGGTATGATAATCGTCTAAAACAATACCACGGTTTGACGGTTTCGCGGTATACGGTATGTTACAAAATAATAGAACAGTGAAGCAAATTTGACTTTTTCCAAATAATATATTTTCAGTTACTATAAACAACACCACTTACAATGAACAAATAAAAAAAATAAGAAAATAATAAATAATGTGTCAAAGTCCAAATAAAGTCCAAATAAACATGGTGCAAATCCTCAGTAAAAAAATAGATATAAATATTTACTATACTATAAATAGTTACATAACGAAACTAGATTCAATATGGCACATCCTTAGGTTTTATGTGCCAGCATGGATATGGTTGTCTGTGGATATGGATTTGGATATGGTTGTCTACAATGCAGACAAACAGCTGCACCTTCATTTGCGTCTTTTGAAAACAGCAAGAGCAGCAGTTCGTCTTTGCTGTGTCACTGTTTTGTCATGTTTCTGTGCTGCTGTGCATGCAAAAGTACTTAGTATGAGAATTATTTCATGCAAAACTTTTTTTTTTTGCGTTTTATTTAGCCGTGCATAAATGTATGCCTATCTCTCATTCCGTGTTGTTCAAAAAGCTCGTTGTTGGTCCACAAACAAAAGCGAAACCTATGCTTATTGGTTGTGATATAGCGAGTTTGAACCAATCTGGGCATGGAGGAGGGACAATGCATCAATGTATCATGTCTGGTTTGTCCGGAGACACAGTGACGAGCGTTTCTTTGTCAAATCAGCGTTGTCAAATTTTGATGACGTAACCGCACTGATTCCGGAGCCTCTGAAAGTCCGCGAATGTTACGTGATACAGCACTGGAAAGCTGAGATTCTCTTCTTTATGTCAATCTTTGAATTGTATGAATCGGATCAGCGGATCAAAAGTTATTAAACATTTAAGAGCAATACTTATTTTTAGCCGCGGGCGGCTGTCTCGGTCTTTAAAGGTTAAAACCGTTGATATGCAATTGTTCATGGTATGATAATCGTGCACGTTCAAATCGTGGTAGACCGTCATACCGGTATATTGTTACAACCCTAACACACACACACACTTGTTATATCCCAGTGGGGTCTCTCAGAAATTCACATTTCTACTATACAAACCATACATTCCCTCCCCTTACCACTTATGTCGAGTTCACCCTGCATGATTTTGACTCGACGAAAACATCCGTGACGCCACTACTTTCAATATCCTGCAGTCTGAACTCGGCATAAACCAGACCTCACTGGAACCCGCACTTTTATATTCACAAAATACTTCATTCTGTGTGATTCATATACAAGCGTGTTTTTCCATGAGGATCTCAAATTTGGTCCCCATGAGTCTGTGTGCATTCAGGTTTAAGTCCCCACCATGATATAAAACACACACACGTACACACACACATGTGAGCACATCTTGTTTATAATCTTCTTTCTGATCAGGGTTTGGATTCAGAAACGGCAGTCAGAGGCGTTGTAAATCAGGCTCAGTTCACTGCACAGAGGTAAGCTTATGTTTCTGAATGTACAGTTAAAGTCAGAATTATTCGCCGTTCTGTGACTTATTTTCAATTATTTCTCAAATGATGTTGAGCAGATTCTGGAATTTTTCACAGTATTTCCTCCAATATTTGTTCTTCTGGTGAAATTGTTTCATTTCGGCTAGAATAAATGCAGTTTTTAATTGTTTTAAAACACTTTAGGGTCAATGTTATTAGCCCCCTTCAGCAATATTAGTTCAACTGAACTCTTTATTTCAGTAAAGATAAGAGTGAGTGTTTTATATTTCTCCATCACCATCTATTTTCTTTATTTTTAAAGGTCTCGTTTCAAAAATATGAAAGGGAAGTCTGCGAAGAAAAGTAAGGACTGGATCTTGGATAAGAAGGAAAGACGCCGCCGACAGGGAAAGTATGTTTTAGCTTCTGTTATTCATTCATTCATTTTCTTTTTGGCTTAGTCCCTTTATTAATCTGGGGTCGCCACAGCGGAATGAACCGCCAACTTATCCAGCATATGTTTTACGCTGCGGATGCCCTTCCATCTGCAACCCAGCACTGGGAAACACCCATACACTCTTACATTCACACACTGCGGCCGATTTAGTTCATCAATTCCCCTATAGCTCATGTGTTTGGACTGTGGGGGAAACTGGAGCCCCTGGAGGAAACCCACGCCAACACAGAAAGAACAGGCAAACTGACCCAGCCGGGGCTCAAATCAGTGACCTTCTTTCTGTGAGGCGATTGTGCCAATGTGATGCCCCTATTATTTATTTAGTTATGTACAGTAAGAGCACTTGTGTACTGTATTCAGCATTATAATGACGTGTCATAACCTGTTTATTCACTGACCAAGACACATACAGTAGTTAACAATTTGTAAGGCCCAAGGTGTTTTTTACATGCATTTTTGATTTCTCTTTAATATTTGGGCTTATTGGAACCTAATTAGAATAAAAACCTAAGGATCATCTTTTGATATGATGTACTTTTAGAGAAAAAATTATGTCCATGTATGTGGACTCGTGGTCCGAATTTATATAAAAAAATTTCCTGACTGTTTGTTAATGCATATATAATGTAGAACATTTTTTTGAACTTGTTTTGAGAGTAAAAACTAAATTTTTTCCCATTTTGGACTATAAAAAATAGTGTTTGGGGCATTTCATATGCTGCAAAACAGTTACAGGATGGCACTGTATGTCTGTAACAACATTTAAAACATTCAATACAAGGAAATACTTTTTCCAATAAATCTATTGCTCTGTATTATATTTTCTTTGGAAAGTGGTCATTGTTTTGAGCAGTTTCTTCTTCTGTTTTCAGGGACGTAAGGGCTGACACCAAGTACACCGGCCGACACCGGAAACCTAAATTTTAACTCTTCAAGTGCATCGTACATCCACTGAACATACAGCAGAGTTGTCTGATATCCAATTTACTGGATCCAGTTACCACTCATACCTGTGCTGATCAGTGAGAACTATGACCTTTATGAGGATCTCAACACAATAGAGACACAAATGGAGAGAGATTTATTAACAAACAAACAATGAATGGACTTTTTGTGCAGTGGGATCAATATATGGATTATCTCTGAATTAGCTGAATCCTTAATAAACTATATTAATGTAATTTTCCTTCGTCCCTTATTTATCAGGAGTCACCACACCGCCAACTATTCCAGCATATGTTTTACACAGTAGATGCCCTTTCAGCTGCAACCCATCACTGGAAAAAACCCATACACACTCATTCACAAACATGCACTTTGGACAATTTAGCCCAATTCACCTATAGCGCATGTATTTGGACTATTATAGCATAAGTTTTACGACGCAGATGTCCTTCCAGCCACAACCCAGTACTGGGAAACACCCATACAGTCTCACATTCGCACAGTATACGCTACAGTATACTTTATTCAATTGACCTAAAGCGCATGTGTTTGGACTGTGGGAAAGGCCGGAGTGCTAACCACTGAGCCATCATGTCGCCGTACAGCCGGTCAGTGATGGTGAAATCAAGGCATGTAAAGCCTCTTGATTCACCTTCCCAAAAGTACTCGTGGATCCTATACAGCTGACAGATTTAGGGTCTTGGAGAAGTTTTGGCCTGACATGTGCTTATAAATGCATTTATAATTTCTCCACTTTTGTAGTTATCAGGACAATTGGTGGTGTCCTTTAACAGAACTCTTTAAATATTATTATTTAAAGCATTTTAATCAGTAGGTTTTGAGTCAGGACAAAACAGCTATAGAGTAATCTGCATTATCAATATAAATATTAATATCCTTAGCAATTGCAAAACACTTATAAGTAAAGGGGTTTCCTCATCACTGGTTGGTTCTACCACTGTCTTCTAGCCAAGTTTCAAAAATCAATTCAGTTCAAGTTTATTTGTATCGCATCTTTCACAATAATTTTTGTTTTAAAACAGCTTTACAAAATGTGCACACGATTGTATTATCAATAATATCAGAAAAGTTAAGGTGATTAGTTACTCATAACTTTAACTAGTAGCTTTTAACAGTTCAAGTTAAACATAGTTGGTCACCTGCAGTTATAAACACTAACTGGCCACTTTATTAGGTACCCCTGTCCAAATGCTTGTTAACACAAATTTCTAATCAGCCAATCAAAGGGCAGCAATTCAATGCATTTAGGCATGTAGACATGGTCAAGATAATCTGCTGCTGTTCAAAGCGAGCATCAGAATGGGGAAGAAAGGGGATTTAAGTGACTTCAAACATGGCATGGTTGTTGGTGCCAGAAAGGCTGCTCTGAGTATTTCAGAAACTGCTGATCTACTTGGATTTTCACGCACAACCATCTCTAGGGTTTACAGAGAATGCTCCGACACAGAGGAAATATCCAGTGAGCGACAACCGAGGTCTGCAGAAGAGCATCTCTGAACACACAACACGTCCAACCTTTTAGGTGGACAGCAGCAGACCACACCGGGTGCCGCTCCTGTCAGCTAAGAACAGGAAACTGAGGCTACAATTCACACAGGCTCACCAAAACTGCACAATAGAAGATTGGAGAAACGTTGCCTGCTCTGATGAGTTTCCATTTCTGCTGACACATTCGGATGCTTGGCTCACAATTTGGCCTCAACAACATGAAAGCATGGATCCATCCTGCCTTGTATCAGCGGTTCAGGCTGGTGGTGGTGTAATGGTGTGGGGGAGATTTTATTGGCAACAGGATAACACACCATGTCATAAAGCTCAATCATCTCAGACTGGTTTCTTGAACATGACATTGAGTTCACTGTACTCAAATGGCCTCCACAGTCACCAGAGCTCAATCCAACAGAGCAGCTTTGGGATGTGGTGGAACGGGAGATTGGCATCATGGATGTGCAGCCGACAAATCTGCAGCAACTGTGTGATGCTATCATGACAATATGGAGCAAAATCTCTGAGGAATATTTCCAGTAGCTTGTTGAATCTCTGACACGAAGGATTAAGGCAGTTCTAAAGGCAAAAGTGGGTCCAAAGTTCCAAACCGGTGGTAGTAAGGTGTACCTAATAAAGTGGCCGGTGAGTGTTGTATAGATGATGTCTATGTGTACATGTTCAATGAATAGTATTAAGTGTATGTGTTGTCCTCGTAGTCCTTGATGGTTGGCATCATCTCTTGACAGGTCTTAAATCGCATCAATAGCACTGCACATTTTCTAGAGGCCTTGGGATGAGTATCTTCAGGTGGAAATGGAGAACAAAGAAAATAAACAAGAGCTATTAAATATCAATACAAAAATGAAGTAATATAAGTGAAAATAGAAACAAACATAACCCATAAAAGTATTCCTAACAAAGTGCTTGGTGTATTAAGACAGGAGGAGTGTCTACTACAGGTGGTTTGTCAAGCCCACTCACCTGCGTGGAGCACACTCATGCATCATACTGTTATGCGATGCATTGAGTGTATGCTTTACTAAAAAGATGGGTCTTAAATCTAGTTTTAAACTGAGAAAGTGTGTCTGAGCCGCGGACATTATCAGGAAGGCTATTGCAGAGTTTAGGAGCCATAAACGAGAGGGCTCGACCTCCTTTAGTGGACTTTGTTATTCTGGCTACCAGTTTAGATATATACAGAGCGGGTTGGATTGTAGCAAGGCAGGAGGTTGGTTAGATAAATGGAGCTAGATTATTTAAAGCTTTATAGGTAAAAAAGCAATATATGAAACTCAACAGGCAGCCAGTGTAAGGAGGATAAAATGGAGTAATATGATCATATTTCCTGGTAAGACCTCTGGCAGCTGCATTTTGCACTGAAGTTTAGTAACATTTAACATCATATGAACATTATTTGTAATTAAATAAATCCTTGGAACATTTATTAAACATTTAATAAAACCCTTTATCAAACATTGTGCTTTTAAAAAAAACATTAGCTAGCTTGTATGGAATGTCAGCCAGAGTTCTGGGAAGGTCGCCTGTTCGCTGGAAATGTGGAGTTTGGCTGCGATCAATAACACCTGACAGACTGACTGAATGAAACATGAAGGACCGCACACAGGAGCTCAGACATGTGAGTATGTGTTGAGTTTACTGCAGTCGAACAGACACAACTTCATACTGATCACTTAGTATCTTGTGATTTGTTTGATGCTAGAGTATCTAACATAGTGGGCTAGTATATACCAACTGCTAGCCTGCAACTATTAGCTAGTCTATTGTATAGTAGGCGAGTATACCAACTACTAGCATAACAAATATTAGCCAAGTACTAGCTAGTGTATAGTATATTAGGCTATTATACAGTATACCAGCTACGTGTCTGCCAACTACTTGCTAGTTTATAGTATAGTAGGCTATTGTATACCAACAATTAGCTTACCAACTATTAGCCAACTACTAACTAGTTTATAGTATAGTAGGCTATGTACCAATTACCAACCAACTGGTGTTGCTAGTATATTAGGCTAATTTATACCAATGACTTGTCTACCAAATACTCGCTAGTGTATAGTATAGGCTAGTATACCAACATTAGGCTACCAACTATTAGTCAACTACTAGCTAGTTTATAGTACAGTAGGCTACCAATTACTAGCCAACTAACCTACTGGGGGAAAAAAAACAGCTTAAAACAGCCTCAGGTCAGGTTGGTCTTAGCTGGTTTTAGCTAGTCAAGCTGGACAGGCTGGTTTTAGAGGGGTTTTGGCTACTTTTTAGCTGGTCTTAGTCATGTTGGTCAAGCTGGTTTTAGCTGGTTTTAGCTGGTCAGGCTGGTTTTAGTGGGGTTTTGGCCACTTTTTAGGTCTTAGTTGGTCAGGTTGGTTTTAGCTGGTTAAGCTGGTCTTAGCTCGTCTTAGCTGGTTTTAACAGTTTTTTTTTTCAGCAGGGTAGTGCTGTTGCTATAGTACACTAATAGATACCAACTGCTACTTCTACTTTAAATCACTTGTAAATATGCTGGAATGTAAATGAATTTGAAGGATGGACATGAATTTTAATTGACCTCAGCATCTGTTTTTTTAGTACTCGTCCTATAATTTGTTTTGTATGTTTTTAAAACGATCATGTGTCGCTTGTCTCAAATCAAATTCCCTAAGGAATGATTAAACTAACCTAACCTATAGTATAATTGAGTCACTGTAAGAGAAGAATTGGTAAACGTGAATGAGCGTGGACAATTTTTTGTACATGTACGCACGTGATCACGCTAATGTTTGATGATAAAGCATGATAAAAAAGATCATCTGAAGTCAGAGAGCTGTGGTGATTAGGCTGGATATTTTCATTGCAACTGAAACTGAGAGTTTTCTGTATATGTAGTGATCTGATCCGAGCACAGCAATCATTAACCTGTATTTAGCCTACTCACTATCATTGAATAAACAGAACATCAGGGGGGTTCTGTCTGTTGTGCGATTGGCTTTTTAGGGCACAAACACATCCAAAAGTATTTTGTTACAGAATAAATCCTTGTTTATTAAATGCATTTCATTGAAATGCTAAACAGCATATTTAATTCAAAGGAAAATGCAAAAAACTATATTACTATCATCTCAGACTCTACAAGTTTGGGTAATCTAAACCTTTAAATGAATATGAATCTCCTCACGACTTTCTGTATTTCTATTCATCAGGGAAAAGAGCTGGAAGAGCAGAATGAGGTGACTATGAACAATAAAATGGTGATTGAAGATGGCTTTATGGATGAGTTCTTTGAGCAGGTTTGATATTATCATTAATTGCTTTTCACCAGTATAATCCTCAAATTCAGAGCAACGTCTTGAATTTAGCTGTTATCTTATAGTTCTGTTCACTGATCAGCCACATAAAGATGCTAGAACATATTGGTCTTTATTCATTTGTGATTAGTGCAGTTTGTGAAATTTTTGTGAAAGTTTTGTCCTTTAAAAGTTAATAGTTACACTATAATATTACTGTCTCTGAATTGGTTATATGTAACACTATTTTTTATGTAACCTTTCTTTTGCATTAAAGGAAATCATAGCCGCCTCGTCTTAGCTGTTCAGGCTGGGAGATGACCAGCTAAAATCATCTTGACCAGCTTAAACCAGCCTGGTTTTAGATGGTTTTAGCTGGTCATTTCTCAGCCTGACTAGTTAAGACTAGGCTGGACATGGCTGGAACCAGCCTGGAAATTGCCAAAATCCGTTTAAAACCAGGCTGGTTGATCAGCTTAAACCAGCCATCCAGCCTAGGCTGATTTAAACTGTTTTTTTTGAGCAGGGTATGGGTCACCCACCAGTATAACCTTGGATAAAAATGTTGCGGTATTGTGATTACTGCCCGAAACTATGCTCTTTTTAAAAGTCTGAGTTAAAAATTTTTTTCCACCATTGAACACAATATATTTTACATTTAAAATATTTTAGGGCAATGAACATGTCAGGCTAAATAATTCAAATAAATCATTGCCTTCTGCTGTCTTCATTCTGTCTTCATAGTATTTTCAACAAAAAAGCCATTTTTTTATATAGCACAAGTCTATAGCATGCTTGGATGTAAGTTTATAGGTGATTTGTTTTTCAGATGTTTGCTGAATGGTGGGCTGAACAGTAGCTTTTGATGTGGAGATGCTGTTACCCTAAATAACTAAATAATAAAAACATGTTAAATGTATTTATTTATTTATATATATTTATAACATATAACTTTTTCTCTCAGCAACATCCCACATAATTTTGCATGCTCACACTCTGTGTGTCATTGGCTTTATTATGGAGCAATCGCTCATTTTATTCATGTTTTCATCCACTTTGGTGTTTTAAGCTTGCTATCTTCGTCTTTCTCAGGTTGAAGAGATTCGGGAGTTCATCGACTCTTTGGCAGAGAAAGTAGGAGAAGTGAAGAGAAACCATAGCGCCACACTGGCCTCCCCAAACCCAGATGAGAGTATGTCTTTCAGCAGCATCCTTTATAGATTCACAATGTTTGTCAATCAGCTTTTACAGTCTGATGATGACACTAAAATCCAGTTCTCTGACCCCACCGATTGAGATTATATTTTTGGTGATTTACATTTATAATCTTGTTCCCAACCACACACCAAAAAGACTGTTGTCACGATGCATCATCATTTATGCTACTTTAAGTACAGCGTTGGACATTTTTATTGTGCATATGCAAACATATTCTGCATCTTTCTTTCTTTTTTTTGAACAGAAACAAAAACAGAGTTTGAGGAACTGATGAACGATATCAAGACGTTGGCTAATAAAGTGCGCTCCAGGTTACAGCGTGAGTTTGTCATCTTTAATAGCACACAAGCTTAAACTGGATCAAGCTATGTTATATAATAACACATTAGAAAACTGATTACCTCTTAAAATAATAAATTACTGAGATTCATATAACAGAGCCAAAACACCAGTGATGTTAAACAGTAGCCTAGAGCGCCATCTGCTGTTAAACACTAACCTAGAGCACCGTCAGCTGTTAAACACTAGCCTAGAGCACCGTCTGCTGTTAAACACTAGCCTAGAGCGCCGTCTGCTGTTAAACACTAGTCTAGAGCACTGTCTGCTGTTAAACACTAGCCTAGAGCGCCGTCTGCTGTTAAACACTAGTCTAGAGCACCGTCGGCTGTTAAACACTAGCCTAGAGCACCGTCTGCTGTTAAACACTAGCCTAGAGCACCGTCTGCTGTTAAACACTAGTCTAGAGCACCGTCGGCTGTTAAACACTAGCCTAGAGCACCGTCTGCTGTTAAACACTAGCCTAGAGCACCGTCTGCTGTTAAACACTAGCCTAGAGCCCCGTCTGCTGTTAAACACTAGCCTAGAGCGCCGTCTGCTGTTAGCCTAGATCGCCATTTGCTGTTAAACACTAGCCTAGAGCGCCATCTGCTGTTAAACATTAGCCTAGAGCACTGTCGGCTGTTAAACACTAGCCTAGAGCACCGTCTGCTGTTAAACACTAGCATAGAGCACCGTCTGCTGTTAGCCTAGATCGCCATTTTCTGTTAAACATTAGCCTAGAGCGCCATCTGCTGTTAAACACTAGCCTAGAGCACCGTCTGCTGTTAAACACTAGCCTAGAGCACTGTCGGCTGTTAAACACTAGCCTAGAGTGCTGTCAGCTGTTAAACACTAGCCTAGAGCCCCGTCTGCTGTTAAACACTAGCCTAGAGCGCCGTCTGCTGTTAGCCTAGATCGCCATTTGCTGTTAAACATTAGCCTAGAGCGCCATTTGCTGTTAAACACTAGCCTAGAGCGCCATTTGCTGTTAAACACTAGCCTAGAGCGCCATTTGCTGTTAAACACTAGCCTAGAGCACCATTTGCTGATAAACACTAGCCTAGAGCACCATTTGCTGTTAAACACTAGCCTAGAGCACCATTTGCTGTTAAACACTAGTCTAGAGAGCCATCTGCTGTTAAACACTAACCTAGAACACTGTCTGCTCTTAAACACTAGTCTAGAGCGCCGTCTGCTGTTAAACACTAACCTAGAACACTGTCTGCTCTTAAACACTAGTCTAGAGCGCCGTCTGCTGTTAAACACTAGTCTAGAGCGCCATTTGCTGTTAAACACTAGTCTAGAGCGCCGTCTGCTTTTAAACACTAGCCTAGAGCGCCGTCTGCTGTTAAACACTAGCCTAGAGCGCCATCTGCTGTTGAACGCTAGCCTAGAGCGCCGTCTGCTGTTAAACACTAGCCTAGAGCGCCGTCTGCTGTTAAAAACATATAGATGTTGTCTCTTTATTTCTCTTTTTACAGATATCCAGCAGAGCATAGAGCATGAGGAGGCATTTAATGGTCAATCAGCTGATGTGAGGATACGAAAAACACAGGTGAGAGCGGTCAGACACACCACTCTGTGACTTACTGATTACTGGCAGATGTGCTAAATGTGTAGCAAACATTAATATAAATGTTTACAGTAACTACACTTACATTACCAAGTGCAAGTTTCCCCCACAGTCCAAACACATGCGCTATAGGGGAATCGATGTACTAAATTGGCCGTAGTGTATGAGTGTGTTTGCAAATGTGAGTGTGTATGGGTGTTTCCCAGTGCTGGGATACAGCTAAATTTTTTATTTTTTTTGCTGTGTAAAACATATGCTGGACAACTTGGCGGTTGATTCTGCTGTGGCGGTCCCTGATGAAGGATAACGATCAAACATTCATGCACTGTTATTGTAAAGTGTGACCGTGTTCTCTGTATTGCAGCACTCCACCCTGTCACGTAAATTTGTAGAGGTGATGTCGGAGTATAATGCAGCACAATCAGAATACAGGGAACGATGCAAAGGACGGATACAGAGACAGCTTGAGATCAGTGAGTTGCACACATCTAAAACTTAAAGTCAGCATGAAATCAAAGTGTAATTTTATATTTATTTGTGCAGATTTAGTCAGAATTATTCAATCCAGGCTCATACTGATTACGTACCCCCGTACACATTTCTGGAGAGCGCCTAATATGTGCCAGGAGCTACGTTTATTTGCAGTTTTGTTTTCGTGAATCCAACAGAGGTCGCTGTGCAGACTTTTTTTCAACCCAGGCTTATTCTGGAAACTTAGCCCCGCGGAAGTTTCTTGAGACTGCGAAATATGTCCTGGGAGGTACTTTTTCTTGTCTCAAACGCCTCTCGCAAGCGCGCTGTTCTTGCATAAAAAGCCACCTGACGCCTCTGTCGATCGACCGTCTGTCCGACTGACCGACTTACTGAATGACTGAATGACTGACTGGGCGACCGGCCAATCGGCCAACCCGGCCACCCTCCTCCTTCTCCTCTTTCTTTCTGAAACCCAAGCGACCATTTACAAAAGCCGAGCAGAAAAAGAAAAGCCCTCATCTGATTTTGACTCGTTTTCGCATTTCACCGCATTTCACCGCCCCTTTTCGAACTCGTCCGCTTTTATTTTTTGGATTCTGTTTTTTGTCTTACCTGATTTCTGGAACCGCTCTTCTTCTGACTCGGACCCGGTCGACGAACGCAGCCGGCTCATCCTCCTCCAGGCCTCCGCTCCGCTGACGTAACACGACGAGCTAACCGGACAAACTGGTTGCGGCGGGAAAGCCCTCCACACGGAGGAAGTGAACCGTCAGTCCAGCTCACAAACGCAAAGAGGAGTGGCGTCACACTGCTCCATAGTGTTCGCTTAAAAAAACAAAATGCAGCGGAAATCGCGGTCTCCAGAAACGTCCGCGGGGCTACGTTTTCAGAATGAGCTTGGGTTACTGTTTTTAGATATCAAATTTCTCTCATGAGTGCCGTTCGCACCTGCTGTTCATTCGCTCCTGCAAATCCACCAAAGGCTGCTGTCGACTGACTGACTCCCTGACTAACCTACTGACTGATCCCCCTACCCTCTCCTTCCCCTAAACTCAACCAAAAGTGTTTTCAAAAGCACCAATTGACCAGCACCCACAGCCACATTCTCACCCTGTTATTTAGTTGTTTATTTTATTGTTTTGTTTTTGTCTGCTTTTTGGAACCGTTCCTCACTGGATTCGAACCCCATTGTCCCCAAAGTGACGTTTAAAGGCTTAACTAGGGTAAGGTTAGGGTAATTAGGCAAGTCATTGTATAACAGTGGTTTGTTCTGGAGACAATCCAAAACTAATATTGCTTAAGGGGAGCTAATAGTATTGACCTTAAAATGAGTTTAAAACAATTAAAAACCGCTTTTATTCTAGCCAAAATAAAACAAATAAGACTTTCTCCAGAAGAACAAATATTATAGGAAATACTGTGAAAAATTCCTGAATCTGAATCTGAAATAAATGGAAGAAGAAAAAAACTCACAGGAAGGTAAATAATGTTGAGTGCTTGTTATAAACGATGTGCACTTCATAATTTAGTAATCATCTAATGCCCGTTTGTAGGCATCTGACAGAATGGGGTAATAATAAACCTCTAGGATGTGACATAAAGACAAAAATACGAATACCTAAAATACGAAAACCTAAAACAGAAGTCGCTTTGTAAGCAAACAGAAGATTGCTCAATATTACCCAAGAGCCACTGCTCCTCCACATCGAGAGAAGTCAGCTGAGGTGGCTCAGGCATCTGTTTCGGATGCCTCCTGGATGCCTACCTCGGAAGGTGTTCCAGGCATGTCCCACCGGGAAAAGGCCTCTTGGAAGACCCAGGACACGCTGGAGGGACTATGTCTCTCTGGCCTGGGAACGCCTCGGGATCCCCCTGGAGGAGCTGGAGGAAGTGTCTGGTTAGAGGGAAGTCTGAGGCTCTCTCCTAAGACTGCTGCCCCCGCGACCCGGCCCCAGAAAAGTAGCAGAAAATGAATGAATGAATGAATGAATTATCTTATGTAATACCAGCAAACTAATATTGTTCAACTATTTTTGTAGCAGGTAGAAAGACAACAAAAGAGGAGTTGGAGACCATATTGGAAAGTGACAACCCATCCATCTTCACAACAGGGGTGAGTGGATGTTTACATCGTCATTAACAGCCAGCGTACATTGCAACAAAAAAAATGCTTTTCTTACCTAGAGTTTTAGTCGTGTTTCTAGTCCAAATATCTAAAAACCTTTAAATCAAGAAGTATTTTCTTGACAAATAAAACATATTGTCTTGTTTTGGGAAATAATACGTCAAAATTAAAGCATTTTTACAGTGTATCCCACTTCTTTTTTTTTTTTTGCTCAAGGTCTTCATGGACTGCAGCATCACTAAACAGGCCATGAATGAGATCGAGACACGACACAATGAAATCATCCAGTTGGAGAGCTGCATCCGAGAGCTTCAGGATATGTTTGTGGATTTGGCCGTGCTGGTGGAGAACCAGGTATGAGCTAAGAGTAGAGTACGATACATTTTTCATGATGTTCCTCTATGCTCTTCCACTTGGTCTGTGTCACGATCACCAGCGATTGGAAGTCTATAGATCGCTGGAATTCACACACAATCGCTTATGGACTACACAACCACCACTTCATGGACTACAACTACATACATGCACTCTGCTCACACACACGTTCCTCATTCTGACTGATGACAGACGCACCACCAGAGGATTGTCAAGCACTGAATACACACACTATTTAAGCAGCACGTACACTCACTTTAGGGTCTTGTTATCTGTTCTAGCGACATTACAACGCGTTTCCTTTGTCTTGCTTTACTGTGTTTTTGATCCTTGCCTTGTTTATTTGTTTAATCCTGTTTGCTGCATGCCTTTGACCATCTGCCTGCCTATTGACTATGATTCTGGATTGCCTGTTCACTCCTTTTTCCCCATGTGTTGACCATTGCTGGCCTGACCTCGCTAATAAACCTGCATGTGGATTCGCACCTCACAGTGTCACTTCCCCTGGTTACAGTCTGGGCTTCAGCACATTGATTTGATCTCATATAATGAGACTGATTGTCATTCAAAACCTTCAATCCATCCTTAGGATATTCTCCCACCTCTTTCCTTTAGGCAAGTTATGGATACATTTGCTCCTGGTCTGCTACTGTGCTTGTCCACTGGCTCCTTCCCTAACTATCCTAAATGTGGTGTAGTGACACCATATCTCAAAAAACCAAACCTCAATTCAGCCTCTTTCTCCAATTTCCGGCCTATTTCTAATCGACCAAGATCCTTGCGAAAGTTGTTTTGACTCAATTTCAAACATATCTGACTTTAGTTTGGCGCTCTCCAGAAATGTATACAGAGGTAGGTTTCTATAATGAGCCTTGGTTGATATTTTAGCATTCAGTATGATCACGCTGTGTGAGTATTATGAGCTGCAGGAGCCAGAGCCATGTGGACAACTGTGGGAGAATGAGAGCATTTTAGATAAAGAAAACCAACCCAGGCTCATTGTAAAAAGGTAGTCCTGTGGACGTTTCTGGACGTTCCCGGGAGGTACGTATGGCTGCATTTCATTTTTTTTAAGCGAACGCTACGGGGTGGTGTGACGCCGTTCCCTTTCGCGCTTACCGGCTGACCGCTTACCTCCGTGTGGAGTGCTTTCCCGCTGCAACCAGTTGGTCCGGTCAGCTCATCGTGTACGTTGGCAGACTTCAGATGCAGAGAGGAGGAGTTGACCATGGCGACCGGGTTCGAGTCCGGGGAAGAGCGATTTCCAGAAATCAGGTAAGACAAAACAGAATCCAAAAAATAAAGTGAACGAGTTCATAACAGGGCGAGAACGTGGTGAAATCTGAAAACGTGGTAAAAAAAATACAGATGAGGGCTTTTCTTTTTCTAGACGGCTTTTCTAAATTGTTGCTCAGGTTAAGGGGAAGGGAGCCGGCGGGCGGGTCAATCCGTAAACCTGGTTGGGTTCAGGGAAGGAGGAGGGTGGGTCAGCCGATTGGCCGGTTGCACAGTCAATCATTCGGTCAGTCAGACAGCGGCCTCTGGTGGGTTCACGCAAGAACAGCGCGGGCGCGAACGGCACTCACAAGAGACATTCGAGATACGAAAAAGCGTACACAGCGGGCTCTCGCGGATTCGCGAAAACAAAAACTGCATACCTCCTGGGACGTATTTCGCGGTCTCCAGAAACAATCACAGGACTACGTTTTCAGAATGAGCCTGGGTTGCAGAAAACATTAACAGATATTAGACTTATACGGTTTATAATTATCTTTTTTTTCCATTGTTCTAATCTATTTAATTAAGAGCAATAGAAATGAGCTGTATTTCTCTCTCTTCTTTTAGGGAGAGTTAATTAACAATATAGAGACAAACGTCTCCAGTGCTCAGGAATATGTGGAGAAGGCTAAAGAGGAAACCAAAGCGGCTATTAAAATCCAGAAGACTAGCAGAACGGTGAGATATAGCAACCAGTTTTCTGAATTTAACTTTTATCTTGTCTTTCCTCTTTCTATGGTGCCATCCATCTCCTGTTGTGGTCAGGTAGGAGGATTGAGTTTAATGTGGAACATGCAGAGCCAGGCCCGGCGCTACAGCGGGGAAAGGGGGGCATTCATTTATTATATTCAATATTATTAATAATAGTATTAAAATTAGGCTAACATTGATAAAACGCAGAACCCTTTTAAATGTTTGCTTTCATTTTGACATCGCTAAAGCGCACTTTTACAGTTGTGTAAAGAAATATCCCATTATGCAGCTCAAAAAATGCCTTTTGAGTTTAAAGCTGATCGGCCTACGAAGACGAGTTTACAGTTATAAATGAAATAGGTCCAGTATAGTGCGTAAGTGGATCCACCTCTTACATGCGCTGCAGGCTGAATGATAATCTTTAAAAATATGCAATTTAGGCTAGAAAAAATAAGGTCAAGAATCTTGGGGAGTCAGATCTGAGTTTCAATAGTCATGTCAAAGCAGTCAGTAAATCAGCATACTATCATCTTAGAAACATTGCAAGAATCAGATGCTTTGTTTTCAGTGAAGACTTAGAGAAACTTGTTCATGGTTTAATCAGCAGCAGGGTGGATTACTGTAATGGCCTTCTCACTGGTCTTCCCAAAAAGACATCCAGAACGCTGCGGCCAGGATTCTGACCAGAACCAGGAAATCAGAGCACATCACACCTGTCCTCAGGTCTCTACACTGGCTCCAGTTACATTCAGAATATACTTTAAAGTATTATTACTTCTCTAAATCACTAAATGGCCAAGGAGCTCAATACATATCAGATATGCTGACTGAATACAAACAGATCACTCAGATCTTTAGGATCATATAAACTAGAAGTTCCAAGAGTTCAGTCAGAGCAGGGTGAATCAGCCTCAGCTACAGCGCCCCCCGCTGCTGGAATCAGCTTCCAGAAATGATCAGATGTGCTCCAACATTAGGCACATTCAAATCAAGGCTGAACACACATCTGTTTAGCTGTGCCTTTACTGAATGATCACTGTGCTGCGTCCGACAGATCGCACTATCATGTCTTTCTTTTCTTTTTCATTATCTTATAACCTATTTTAACACATTTTTATCTATTTTTTATTCTTATATTTATATTTCTTATTATTTGTTTTTATCTTCTTACACTCGTCTTTTTTATTCCTGTTTATGTAAAGCACTTTGAATTGCCACTGTGTATGAAATGTGCTATAGAAATAAACTTGCCTTGCCTGTACTGCTATTTGCTCATGCAAAATTAAACACCAGAAAATATACACTAAACCTATTTTAAGAGCTAAATTACAGTTAGCATATCGATTTTGTTTTGACTTGTAGCTCATGGCTCAATGAAAATAACCTGAAAACAAGTTATTAAAATAGGCTTAATAAATAAATAAACTGGCGGGTAGGCCTTGTGACCTAATGGTTTATAATGGCTGTTTTACAAATGCCAACCGAATAATATCACGGAAAAAACTCACTTATGACAGATCAACAGAAATTTTTATTTTTATCCTTACTATATATATATATATATATATATATATATATATATATATATATATATATATATATATATATATATATATATATATATATATATATAGCCTATTGAGTTGCGTGTTATCCATGCCAAAATTGAACCAATTTTCACGGTTCTAACTGTGGTTATTAACTGTGTTTAAGCTGATTTCACTATATTTATTTACCGGTTCTACGAATAGTGGCTATTTAATAATCTAACCATGGGTTAGCTTTGTAGGGTCCACCCAGTTGGTCCAATGGAGGTGTCCACTGGTGGATGAAGGTACAATGCCTGCTCGGTCTTTCCAGTGCACAATGTTGATTTACTTTAAATTTACCTCTATATCTGACTCCAATTTTAATATGAGAATATTCAGATATTTATCTTTCGTTTTGTCTGACTCCAATCACAAAACATTAAGAACATTATATCAATATATATCTTCCCTGCTAAAAAAATCCAGCTTAAACCAGCCTAGGCTGGTTGGCTGGTTTTAGCTGGTCAACCAGGCTGGTTTTAAAGGGGTTTTGGCCACTTCCAGGCTGGTTTCCAGCCATTTCCAGCCTGGTCTTAGCTGGTCAGGCTGGAAAATGACCAGCTAAATCCAGCTAAAACCATCTTGACAAGCCTGGTTTAAGCTGGACATAGCTGGTTTAGGCTGGGCTCCAAGCCTGCTAGGCTGGTCAAGCTGGTTTTAGCTGGTCATCTCCCAGCCTAACCAGCTAAGACCAGGCTGGAAATGGCTGGAAACCAGCCTGGAAGTGGCCAAAACCCCTCTAAAACCAGCCTGGTTGATCAGCTAAAACCAGCCAACCAGCCTAGGCTGGTTTAAGCTGGATTTTTCAGCAGGGTTAGATAAATATTTGAACCTTTTGTCTTCAACACAAATTTTAGTTTAATTTAAACTTGACCACTGTAAACCCTGTTTGATCTCATGAGGAAATGTAACTACGTTTCGTCAGTTTAGCAGCTAATTCGTACGAATTTGTACGAGTTTAGTCATACGAAAATGTGTTTTGTTGTCTTGGTAACGTCAAGTTGTCTTGACAAAGACAAAAACAAGCTGTGATGTGTTTATTTATGTCAAGTTGTCATAACAAACAATGTCATCTTTGCTTTTAAAAATGTTATAACCAAGCGAATCTGTATCCCCCACAGAAGTTGATCCTGATCGGCGGCTGTGTGTCCGTCTGTGTTCTCATACTCATCATCGCCCTCATCTTTGGACTGACATAAAAAAAAAGACTCTTCGGCAGCAGTCTGTGTGATGCTCAATCACAGACACAGCAACTTCTGTCAAGAAGAAACTCAGCACATCTTTTGTTATTTGTGATACAGTTATAGATTTGTGATCTACACTGCCTGACAAAAGTCTTGTCGTGGATCCCAGTTGTAAGAGCAACAATAATAACTTGACTTCTAGTTGACCGTGTGTAAAAGTGTCAGAAGGTGGATTTCTTCTCAAACTTCAGCCTCCACATCAAAGCTCCTGAAAGCAGAGAAGGTCAAGCTGCTCCAGGATTGGCCAGCCCTGTCCCCAGAAGTGAACATTATTGAGCATTTCTGGGGTAAAACGAAGGAGGAGGCATTGAAGATGAACACAATGATGAGCTCTGTGAGTCCTGCAAGAAGGCTTTCTTCTTCATTCCAGATGACTTTATTAATCAGTGATGTGAGTCATGTCAGAGATGTATGGATGCAGTCCTCCAAGCTCATGATGGAGTCAGACACAATATTCATTCTGTCTCCACTGCAGCAGGACTTTATATTCTATACTGGACATTATTTCTGTTCAGTGATGAGACTTTAGTCTGAGCAGAGTCAGACCGCACTGTCCTCATCAAATCATTAATAATCAAGGCATGATCAGATTTTATTGAGCTCAAATAAGCAAAATCTAGAGGCCTTTACCTTTCATATACGCCACTTCTGATAACAAAGGATCAACTAGAACTTAATGTAGTGGTTCTTGTCCGATCTGAGACCCACTTCGTATTGTATTTCTAACAGGCATTGAAGATCACGGATTTTTTAAAGAAATCAGACATTAAACGTGACGATTTTGTGATAATCTTCTCCTCTTTTTAATTATTTTTTATTTTATTTTATTGTTTTTCTTTTCTCATTTAATTTTTATAGTTAATCATGAAGTGATTTGTTGTATAATGAAACTGTACATGCCGGCTCTTGCTAGCATGTAGCAAGTGTCTAGCAAATGTTTATAACGTTATATAAATAAAACCGTGAATATTGTTTCCTTTGATTTGGTTAAAAAATAGTTTCTTGCATCACAACTTTAACGTTACTATGAAGCAGAAACACCCGAAAACTAGCGTTATTTATTTATAGCTAAATAATGAATTTTGTTTTATTTCGAACTTTTATTTTGACGACTGGTGCAAAGGAAAAGCCGTTGACATCGCTTCCGGCGGTGAAAGGATTTCCGTCAACACAAATACACTCGATCTTACTATCAATGACGAGCAGAAATCGGTTATTCGGGATATATTAAGGTCTCTGTGGTGTGTGACATATATCTAGCCAGGTCTGTGTTCAGTATTCACATCTGTTCAACACGTCTGACAGGTAAGACGTGCTATTGTTGTTCTTGTAACGCTTGAATAACACTTGACATCCTAACTAAAGATCGCCCCTGAGCGCTGTCATCTGAGAAGCGTTTATACTTATTACATTAGATCTGTCTGGTGAATCACTGACATTAGTTTATCTGTAAAAGCGCAAACATGCTGTGTTGATGTCACGGTGCACTGAAGACATTAGTAAGATCATAATATTATACCGTTAAGTGAGTTTTTCGTTACCATGATTGTAATTATTGTGGTAAAGTTGGTTTTATATTCGCACATTCGTTCATTTTAACCCTCCCTACATTGTTGATCACGTTGCTTTGAATATTGGGCTGAAATCTGATGCAAGTATGACTTCAAAACAACATTAGCATCATTTACTGACTGTCAGAAGTGTTGTAGTTTGATACCCGATCATATGATTTCCCTATTAAAATAAGCAAATAATACATTTCTGAAATGATATTATTAAGGAGAAAGTCTGAATATATTAACAGTATCGCAGATTGGTTTGGCAAACGTTCATTACATCTTAATACTGGAAAAACACAAGAGCTATGTCTGGGGAGTCAAACAAGAGATTCAGGTACTGTTGAAAGCAGAAGTGTACATACACTGTATAAAAAGGCACATAACCATTTTAAAATAGTCAGATGTTAATGTGACAACCTTTTTATCCTTTTGGTAAGTTAGGATGATCAAATGTGTTTCTGTTCTGCTTAATAGCAGAATAATGAGAGAGAGATTTATTGAGAAATTGTTATAACTTTTCTTGAAAGTCAAGTTTACACACAATAAGATTTTTCTGCCTCTGAAAAAGCTCAGATGATGATGTCAAGGTTTTGGAAGTTTCTGATTGGCTAATTGACAACATTTGAGTTAATGTAGGCTCAACTGTAGAATAGTATTGAAGGAAAAGCTCAAACACACTGCTTCCTTGTGTGAAAACATGGGACAATCAACAAGCCAGAATCAACAACAAAGCCAGATTACAATTAGCTCAATCACACTGGGAAAAGAGTAATGTTTGGAGACATGTCCTGTGCTCTGATGGAACTAAGATTGAACTGTTTGGCCATAATGACCAGTGTTACATTTGGAGGACAAAGGGGAAAGCACACACGCCTAGAAACACCATCCCGACTGTGAAGTATGGGGGCGGCAGCATCATGTTGTGGGGCTGTTTTGCTGCAGGAGGGACTGGTCCACTTCACAGCATAGATGACATCATGAGGAAAGAACATTATGGAGAAATACTGAAGCAACATCTCAACACATCAGCCAGGGAATTAAAACTTGGCCACAAATGGGTCTTCCAGACAGACCATGACCCTAAGCATACTGCCAAATTAGTTCAAATGTGCTTTAAGGACAACAGAGTGAATGTTTTGGAGTGGCCATCACAAAGCCCTGATCTCAATCCTATAGATAATTTGTGGGCAGAGCTAAAAAAGCTTGTGCGAGCAAGAAAAATCTGACTCAGTTACAGCAATTCTGTCAGGAGGAATGGGCCAAAATTCCTGCAAACTATTGTGAGAAGCTTGTGGAAGGAGAGCCAAAACATTTGACCATAAAGTTATACAGTTTACGAGCAAAGCTAAAAAAATACCAAGGAAATGTGTGTAAACTTTTGACTGTCTAGAAATTAATAAAAAAAATCCCAAAAAGATTATCCCATGATTCTGGCATTTGGCGAATGTAAATGATTTAGGTAATCCTAACGGACCTAAAATAGTAAACATTTAGTTTGATTTACCATCAGACAGTTTTTTAAAAATGGTCATGTTCCTTTTTTTAGAGTTCATGTACTCTTCTGCTTTCAACTGTAGATATGACTTCAAAACAGCCTTACAACTGTTTATTTAACTTTTAACAATGTTGTACTTTGATAGCTGTTAGTTCATAATATGATTCCAATATTAGGAATTTGCGAAGAATACTTTTGCAAAATGGTATTTTTACGGAGAAAGTCAAAATGTGTGAATATAAAAACTAAATTTACCCCAATAAACAAGAGTGGCAGATACTAGATTTTATAAGCCAGTCATCATAAATGGAAAACTAGTAGATCATTTCCCCCTTCGATGACACGTACAAAGGAAGAATGCCAATCAAAGTGTTTCTGCAGACTGTTTTTATTATTAGTGATCATAAACAATTACAATTAATACATTTTATCATTAGTAGCTGGCTATATTCACGCACTGCTGACACACAACTGAGTTTAAACCCCTGATAAAAGTGATTTCTGCATAATTTCTGCATTATGTTTAAAATGTGACCTCTCAACGTTAAACAGTACTTGAAAAAATATATGAAACAAATTAATTATTGATAATAATAATTTCCCCTTCAGCTGTTTGTATCAGATGATCTGTAAATGTTGTGTGTTCTTCACTGAAGGATGGACTCTCAGGTGGCGCGCAGCGGCATCAGCGTCCAGCAGTCTGACCTCATGTGTAAGAGAGGATGCGGTTTCTATGGGAACGCCGTCTGGCAGGGCCTGTGCTCGAAATGCTGGCGAGAGGAGAACCAGTGCACCAGATCCAAGCAGATACAGGAGGACCGAGCACTAGCCGAGAGGTCAGACTCTGGAGGATCGATCTTCTGAATGTGTGTCAGTCTCCCGTGCTCAGCTGCTGTGTGTGTGTTTCTTCCAGGTTACAGCGAGAGGAGGAAGCGGCGTATGCTAGCAGCAGTGAGGGGGCTCGCTCTCAGCCCGCATCCTCCAAAACAAACAGTGTGCCCATGGTCAAGAGGCTCTTCACCTCTGCTCCCAAAACACCTGGAAGGAGAGGTGCGCCCTGAGTTTCAGCACGGTTCATTAAGCCTAGTTCACACTACAGGATTTTAAACATCAGCAGATCGCTGTGCCGTTCACACTACATGACTTGACTTTGTGTCTTTTAATCTCTGTGGTGTTCACACTACGCAACACTCCGTGAACGATCCACAAGAGGGGGGTCACACACTACATGATCTGACAACAACTCATTCCCCATCAGCTCATTCAAGCTACCAAACCACAGCCAATGAAATTTTGAGGGAGGAGTCGTCAGACAAAGCTGAACACTATTGGCTGCTTGTGTGCTGATGACATCACTGACAGCGTTTCAAGCTTTGGAGAAAGCATTTAAAAACATCGTCAAATCAGCTGATTCATCAGCGCATTAATCACTCATCTGCAAGGCTCCAGTGGAGATACACAGAGAGTTTTACATTTTTGTAATTGTGTAACTCTTTGAAATAAAACTAACAAATAACACACTGCCGTTTTCTAACTATCAGTGTATTTCTTTCTGACATTGTTATTTTTTTATTACAAAACAGAGCATTTCTGCCTTAAATTACCATATTGGTCAAAATGACTGCATGCATGTCTGATACTTTTCACTGTGACTTTAAATATGTGTGCATTTTCTTGCCTAGCAACTTCCTGCTAACATAAACAAAACTTTCTGATGGCAAAAACATCAATTTACTTCAGATATCTTTCAAAACAGCATATTCTGTGCTGTGAAATCGCTCGTCACTACATCTGACCACACGTGCGGTCAGATGTAGTGACGAGCTGCAGCCAATGAGAGAGCATATCAGCATGAGCTGATATGGAGCTCAACAGAAACATCTGTGATTGGTCAGAATGGGCATCGGTGCACTCGCTTCATTCTGCGTTAGCACAGACATGAGAGTAGACTATATTAACAGTGGAACTAGAATTCTGTAACTATTAGAATTACCATACTGCTCATTCTGACCGTTCTCATATAAAACGCCATATTGTCACAACATATTTACATTCAAAGCTATTATTGAGATATTAAAATTAAGCTTTGAATGTCTGGCATCATATTTAATGACACCATTACCCTAAAAATATCATCTTTTTTTGGTAATACAGCCTATAAATATGTAGTTAAGATACTAGAACACGCAAAGGTCTTGGCTTTCATTTTCACTTTCAAACAGGAGCTATATCACAGCACAGAATATGCTGTTTTTAAAGATATCTGAAGTAAATTGATGTTTTTGCCATCAGAAAGTTTTGTTTATGTTAGCAGAAAGTTGCTAGGCAAGAAAATGCACACATATTTAAAGTCACAGCGAAAAGTATCAGACATGCATGCAGTCATTTGACCAATATGGTATTTTAAGGCAGAAATGCTCAGTTCTTTACTGTTTTGTAATAAAAAAAAATAACAATGTCAGAAAGAAATACACTGATAGTGATACACTGATAAACGGCAGGGTGTTATTTGTTAGTTTTATTTCAAAGAGTTATACAATTACAAAAATGTAAAACTCTCTGTGTATCTATCCACTGGAACCTGCAGATGAGTGATTAATCAGCTGATTTGACGATGTTTTTAAATGCTTTCTCCAAAGCTTGAAACGCTGTCAGTGATGTCATCAGCACACAAGCAGCCAATAGTGTTCAGCTTTGTCTGACGACTCCTCCCTCAAAATTTCATTGGCTGTGGTTTGGTAGCTTGAATGAGCTGATGGGGAATGAGATGTTGTCAGATTATGTAGTGTGTGACCCCCCTCTTGTGGATCGTTCACGGAGTGTTGCGTAGTGTGAACACCACAGAGATTAAAAGACACAAAGTCAAGTCATGTAGTGTGAACGGCACAGCGATCTGCTGATGTTTAAAATCCTGTAGTGTGAACTAGGCTTTAGGCATTGAGATCTGGGGCATGTTGAGCAAAACAATCAATACGCAATACTCTTTCCCTGCATCATTTAATTTTATTAAACAGAACTTCATTTGTAAACTAATTGATTTAGTTTTATTTGCATATATGCAGGGCTTAATTTGTGCCGGAAGATGCTGGATTAGGATCCGGCACCTTTTGAAATCTGATCCGGCTCCTCATGTTACTAATCCCCTCCTCAACCGCCCTTCTTCCCTGTCCCCTGTTCACTTTCTTCTGCGTCTCTCCAACCCTCTTCACTTTTGTCCGCGATACTCCTTTGCCATTCTACGCCCCTCCATTAAACCCCCCCTTGCCCCCATCAACTTGCGTGTCATCCGGGACCTCGCAATTCACAAATTAAGCACTGGATATATGGATAAATTTGGTTGTTACCAACATTCAGTAAAATTTCAAGTCAATAGCACCTTTAGAAATATGTTTCAGAGATTGGCAGTCAAAGATAGTGTGTAAATGACAACGTGTGTGGTGGAATTAATTGTTTAACGTGTGAACATTTCCAACACCGTGTGCAGTGAACTTCCATTTCGGGTTGACAAAACCAAACAAATCCAACCTGGTGAAGATCAGGTTTCACAATGATTGACGTAAAATTGTCTCTATTAACTTGTCAACACGTGGGTAAAATTGTGCATCTTCTGAAAAGTGAAAATTTGAGTATGTCCATGCGGTGTTACTCGAGAGAGATGTTGTTGGCTCTTGTTCTTGCACAGATGCAGGATCTTCAAAGACGCCGGTGAGCCAGAGCTCGTCCCAGAGCCGGCAGCCCAGCGCAGAATGTGACCGCATTACACAGCACTTCATCGACTTCCTCAAACCCTTCCAGAGACCCGGATATGACATTTTCAAGCAGTGCCATGCCTTTGCTGAAAACATTGCACACAAAAAGGTACAAAGCAATCTTACATCTTCTAGCATCCGTTTTGAGTGTGGAATTATAGCATAATTGCGTATTTTAGTAATCCCGAGTTCAAATTCTGATTTTGACTTGATGTATTTTAATAATTATGACCAAAACAAGACATATTTATTCACCAAGTGTTCATTTAGATGTCAGATTAATGTGAAAACAAAACATGTTACAAGAGCTGAGCACTGTGTACTGTAGAAAGAACTCATAACGGCTTGAAACCGGTTAAGGATGAGTAAAAAATGACAGAATTGTAAATGTTTGGGTGAACTGTCCCTTTAAACGACTCCTCGTGAACCAATCACTTTTCTTATACAAAGGTAATGATATTGGTAGCTAGACATTCAAGAGTTCACACTTAGCTGATAATCAATAAAGCGTATTTGGCTTGCTGTCCCAGGAGAGAGCCCTGAGCTCGTAATATCCTCGAGCTCGTGGCTCCCTCCCGTTAAAAGGGCGAGAGGGGAGTTCGAGCTCAGGTAGGTCTTGAGATTCCCCTGCTTGTCACCGTGAGAAGTGTAAACTAAGGTTGTATTGGGTGATAATTAGTTTTTGTCGATTGGCTATGGTTTATGTTTTTGGACGGTGGGAGGAAACCGGGGAACCCGGGGGAAACCCACACGAACACGGTGTAAAGTCCGCACAGAAACACCAACCGGCCCGATAGGAATGACCAGCGATGTTTTTGCTGTGAGGTAACAGTGCTAGCCACTGGGCCACCTTGTCGCTCTATCAGAAAAGGGGGAGGATGGAGGGGTGGAAAGTGGGGGGAGCTTCAAGACGAAGATAACTGGAGTGAAAAACTCAGATTATTTATAATGCTTCTAACAGAGGTAATAAGGAGCCAGCCGTGTTGATCATAAGCATGTGATCCTCTCGAAATTAGTTTATGAATAAACCACACAAAGAGGTGTTTATTTATAGCTTTTAATTTAAATTTGAATTTAATTCTGTGAAGAGAACACACAGTTAATGAGGTGTCCTTTACAAAAAATCACATAGGCAATAAAATAATGGTAATGAAAGGTTCTGCCTGGTTTACTCTGTAGGTTGTTGGCTGTGAAGATCTCTCAGACTCTGTGCAGGACTTTTATCAGAGCATGTCTGAATACCTGCAGACCAACTTTAAAGGTACGCTGGTAACGCTGTCTGATTCACACACATACATACGGGTGCTCGCTCGCTCGGGAGTCGGGAGCAATATTGTTAGACCGCCTGCTCTTGTCAAATTAAACCAACTGCTCCTGCGCTTTATTTGAAAATTAACTCTAGCCTGAGGTACATACAGCTGAATTTCATTTTTTAAACGAATGCTTGGTTGTGGTATGAGGCAGTTCCTTTTCGGTCTTGCCAGCTGACCGCTTACCTCCATTTGGACGGCTTTCCTGCTGTAACCAGTTGGTCTCATTAGCTCGGCATGTACGTTGGCGGACTTGAGATGCAGAGAGGAGTTGACCACGACGACATGGGTTCAAGTCTAGTGAAGAACGGTTCCGGAAAGCAGGCAATACAAAAACAGAATCCAAAAAATGAAATAAACAAGTAAACAACAGGGTGAGAATGTGGTCAAATCTGAAAACGTGGTAAAAATCAGACAAGGGCTTTTTACTTTCTGGATTTCTTTTGAAAATTATGGTTGGGTTTAGGGAAGTGCGTGGGTGGGTCAATCAGCAGGTGTAAATGGCACTCGAAAGAGAAATTGGAGATCTCAAAAAGCATACACAGTGGCCTCTTGTGGATTCGCGAAAATAAACTGCAGAAAAGTGTGCCCCATGGGATGCATTTCAAGGTCTCCAGAAGTGTAGAGGTACGTTTTCAGAGCCTGGGTTGTATGACCGGTTAAACTGGCAGTGGGCTGGATATAGAGGCCAAAACAAAGACAGACATTTCGACAATAAACGACAATAAATCTGACTTCACCATTGTTTTTCAGATCAACAAGTATGCTCACTTGGCATGTGTCTTAAATATCTAACAACAAATTATGGTATTTTTATGATTTTGAAGAGTTAAAAACTGACATACAGCACCTTTAAAATTCACTCTAGTTATTGAAGTGTCCAGTGGATTTCAGATTCCAACACTTGCTCTATATGTTCACATTTATACTACATACGAACATGTCTGATGGCTGTGTGTACATGTCTGTCAGGCTCTCCTGAAGTGGTGGAGACCGTGATGGAGGAGGTGGAGCGGTATGTGATGGGTCGTCTGTATGAGCAGCTCTTCTGTCCTGACCACACTGATGATGAGAAGAAAGACCTGACCGTCCAGAAGAGAATCAGGTGTGCTGGAAGCATTGCTGGAGTCATGTGAGTTACGAAATGCTAACAGCAGTGTAAGAATCTGTGTGTGTGTGTTTGTGTGTGTCTTCAGGGCTTTGCACTGGGTGTCCATTGCGATGCTGTGTGTTCCTTTAGACGAGCAGATCCCCAAAGTGTCAGACAGCGTGGAGAGAGCCATAACAGGTACAGACACGTGTGTGTGTGTGTGTGTGTGTGTGTGTGTGTGTGAGTAGGCTGATGATGGTATCACATTTTATTGTTGCGATCAATTGCTGAAGCTTTTATTGTGATTTATAGTACACTGCAAAAAATGTGTTTCTTGCTTAGATTTTTTGGCTTGTTTCTAATCCAAATATCTAAAAATTGTTAAATCAAGAAGCATTTTCTAGAATATATAATAAAAATCTTATGTGCGAACGAAATACAAAGTTATTTTAATGACCTCATTGGCAGATCATTTGTTTGTTTAAAAAAAGTCACTTAATTTTTGCATTATTATTTCTATTTAACTGTTTAAAAAATAAAATGCTTCTTGATTTCAGAATTTAAGACATTTTTATGGTGTATTATAACGATGTTGAAGTAAGCGGCAAAAAAGTTACTTTTAATATGTATAATAACTAAATAATACTTAGTATATTGCTTTATTGCATATACATGTTCTGAATAAGCAAATGTTTCAACCAAATTAAATTGCAAATAGATTATAAAGTTTAATAGGTAACACTTTACAATAAAGTCTCATTAGTATATGTTAGCTCATGATTTAAATCCAACAGTGTAAAAAAAGCCAGATTTATTACTGTTACTGTGATATGTTAGGAATAAAGTACAACCAGGCGGTTGTTATCTCAGAATAAAGCCCGGCAGGCTTATCAGCAGTCTAACCTACATATTATTCATTCACAAGATGCCACAAAACAGTCAAAAACACAAAGCTGACAGAAACGAAATCGGCTGAATGGAGCATACACTAACTTATGTATTATTCATTTACAAGATGGCACCAAACAGTCAAAAACAAAGCAGACAGAAAGAAAACCGGCTGAATGGAGAATACGCTAACCTATGTATTAGAGATCTGCATTCCAGCGGCTGTACCGTGGAAGCCACGGGACCCAACCAGATTTCTTGCAGTGCGGGAATAAATTTCCAAATAAGGCACGGTAGGAGTCGGTTACTCTGGTGTAATTTGAATGGGAGCGGGCGGTTTAACAATACAGCGTTCCTGAGTCCCGACATTATTTCGGAACAGCATATCTGTGATTAGGGATGTAACGGTATCAGAATTTCACGGTACGGTAATACCTCGGTATGAATGTCACGGTACGGTATTTATTGAATCATTTACAGGAAAAAACAAAACTTATGAAAATACTCCAAAAAAGTGCCAAAAGTGACATACAAATTAGCCATCTATCTGTAAGCTTTGAAACAGGAACTTCAATTATACTAAAAAAAAATATTAAACCATGTGAAAAAATTAAGTTTCAATTTAGTATTGTAGAAAACTCATCACATTCAGCATTTAATCACTCACTCACTTAGATAGAGATGGGTTTAAAGGAAAATTATCATATAAATATAATCTGGTAAAAGCTGGTATCTCTGCGTATTTACAATGTCCCCTACAACAGAAAAAAACCCTCTCATTTGGGACTGAGGTTTCTGGGACAAGAGAGATATGACTTGGCCCAGGTTGTTAGCAATGGGGAACGTTGTGCATTGTCTTTCCCCCACTAGAGAGGAAAAACCATGAGTAAGATAGAGGTCTCATGTCTGCATCAATCTGAACAGTGTGCTGTGTTTCTGCAGTCCCCATGACTGATTATTAGTCGTATTCCCCAACTTGCAGGCACGTGCACACACAGGGCTCAACCTGTGCAGTGCACATGCCCTTTTTAGTCTTGGATAGAAAGTTCCCTTCCAAAATGATCAAAAGTGCCCCCGCGACGCGACATACCCTCCGTCCCCGATTTACAGTACGCGCGCGACAACACAGCTGATCAGAACGCGCGCGACAACACAGCTGATAAGAACTCGCGCGACAACACAGCTGATAAGAACTCGCGCGACAACACCGCTATTCAGTACGCGCGCGGCGACAACACCCGCTTTAGGGTTTTCCAACTCTTTTTCATCCCCGCTTCTAGCAGCACACTCCATTTCCGCATTACTGGATCTGTAGCGACAACAGACCGCAAGGGATTATGGCCAAGCCTGGGCTGATGGGAATTGTAGCTACCTCCCGTTCGCTTCATTCGCCTGAGCAAATTTTCTCAGAAGACCTATAGTTTTACCGAGTCATGCGACAACGGTAATATCGAAAAAAATTAATATTGCGGTATGACGGTATTTACAATACCGTTACATCCCTATCTGTGATTTCCTCATTCTTATTAAACACCAGTACAGCCAGTACTCATGAGTCATGACTGTTACACATGATGAACGCATGACCAGTCATTCCTGCACATGCATTTTTTTGCACAGTCTGTGCGTGCATCAACTGCATAACGGTCCTTAGAGCAGGCTTTACCATTGCAGAGCAAACTGAAGATGCGCTGTCCTTGAAGGACGTTCAGCTTGCATTAGAAAACGGTCAGTTTACTGTTAGGAAATCCACATCAGGCAAGTCTGATGTATGAGAGTCTTTTTCATGCGTCATGAACGCAAATGGAAAAAAATACCCTTTGCGCGATATGATAATACCTCAAAGTTTTACCCTTTAGCAGTCAAGGGCGTTGCACACCGGATGCGCCGCTCGGCGCTGCGCTATGCATTATAGTATTCTAAACATAAAATTCTATCAGGGTATGCACACCGTTGCTGCAACTCAGCAACTGTCTGCAACGCCCATCTACGACTCAGGACACTGTTCATATTTCTGCCGCGCCATAGAGTGTCATCTGAATTTATTTGAAATAACTTGTGAATGTGAGTGTTCGCCGAATGTTACTTCCAACTGTCATATGCGCGCCGCAACCCAGCGCTGAGCGGCGCATCCTGTGTGTGACCAGCTTCACAAGACTGGAACCTCAGGCTTAAGGCGGTACTCCTGTCTCATCACAAAGGGGCAAACAAAACTACCTACAGTTTTATCAGTTATTTCTCTCTTTTTAGTACCCAATTTAAATGTGGGATTTTGGAAACCAGATCTAAATTAAGCGGGAACGGTCGGGTCAGGTAGAAAATTATTCTAAACGGGCAGCGGGTGAACAAAGACTGAATATGCAGCGGGAGCGGTCGGGTGCGGAATAAAACCTGGCGGTAGCAGGACTGAAAAAGTTGTCCTGCGCAAAGCTCTACTATGTATTATTCATTCATAAGATGGCGCCAAACAGTTAAAAACACAAAGCCGACAGAAACGAAATCTGCTGAATGGAGCATACACTAACCTACAGTCAAAATTTATGTATATGGATGTAAACGTCATGATAGGTGGTGATTAGAAGTTCCCTGGTGAGCCTGTGATTTTTATTTTTGTGTTGTTTAAATAGACCTGATCAACTTGGACTCCAAAAAGGTTCCTAAGGAGAAGCTGGCGTGTGTCACCAGGTGCAGTAAACACATCCTGACGGCCATCCAGGGGAGTAAGAAAGCGGCCGCCTCAGCAGACGACTTTCTGCCTGCGCTGGTCTACATCATCCTGAAGGCTAATCCACCACGATTACACTCCAACATCCAGTACATCACCCGCTACTGCAACCCCAGCCGCCTCATGAGCGGAGAGGACGGATACTACTTCACTAATCTAGTAAGAGTTCACCTCAGGCTTTTGTTGTGGTGCTAAACATTAATTAATTTTCCTTCGGCTTACTCCCTAATTTATCGACTTATAGAGATCGACTTATAACGTCACTTACATGATTAATAAAAATTTGCTCAGCTGTAATTGGAAATTTATGATGAGATTATCTCCTCTAAGGACTTAATATGCAGTCTCTGTCGCCATTTTGGTGGCGCTGTTCTTATAAATAAACTGCATAGTTGCAATCCCAACAACTACAGGGTGGGCCATTTTTATCGATACACCTTAATAAAATGGGAATGGTTGGTGATATTAAGTCCTGTTTGTGGCAAACTTTTCAAGATCGATGGTGGCCATTTTGAATTCGGCCATCTTGGATCCAACTTTTATTTTTTCTATAGGAAGAGGGTCATGTGACACGTCAAACTTATTGGGAATTTCACAAGAAAAGCAATGGTGAGCTTGGTTTTAACATAACTTTATTCTGTCATGGGTTATTTACAAATTTCTGACCACTTATAAAATGTGTTCAATGTGCTGCCCATTGTGTTGAAATGTCAATGCAACCCTTTTCTCCCACTCTTCACACACTGATAGCAACACCGCAGGAGAAATGCCAGCACAGGCTTCCAGTATCTGTAGTTTCAGGTGCTGCACATCTTGTATCTTCACAGCATAGACAACAAAGATAGTGTGGCCATTCTTCATTAATGGAAACCTCAAGGCCACTGGATATTTGACATTGCTGCATGATGATGTGTTTCCCTCTTTATGCACTGAAGCCGGCACGTTCCCTGAGTTTTTTCAGCAAGATGGTGCACCACGGCATTATGTGTGTCAGGTCAGAGTATTCCTAGATGAACAGTTTCCTGAAAAGTGGATTGGTCGTCGTGGGCCAGTTGAATGACCCCCTTAGACTTTTTATCTAGGATAGCAATTATTAGCAATTATCTAGGGGGTGAAGATACAAGATGGAAGCCTGGGCTGGCATTTCTCCTGCGGTGTTGCTATCAGTGTGTGAAGAGTTGGAGAAGAGGGTTGCATTGACAATCCAACACAATGGGCAGCACATCAAACACGTTTATAAGTGGTCAGAAACTTGTAAATAACTCATTAAAGAATAAAGTTACATTAAAACCAAGCACATCATTGCTTTTCTTGTGAAAGTCCCAATAAGTTTGACATGTCACATGACCCTCTTCCTACTGAAGAAACAAAAGTTAGATCCAAGATGGCCGACTTTAAAATGGTCACCACCCATCTTGAAAAGTTTGCCCCCTCACATATACTAATGTGCCACAATCAAGACGCTAATATCACCAACCATTCCCATTTTATTAAGGTGCATCCATATAAATGGCTCACCCTGTTTACTCTCGACTTAAAAAAGTCTCAAAAGTACATTATGTTGTCCAACAGCTGCAATATTTGTCAAACTGTAGCAAGTTTATTCCTCTGCTTGTCATGTGGGCGGAGTAATACACATGGGTGAATAGGCTGTAGGAGTGCTGATATTACAGAATAATGCATGGCTATCAACCAATCAGATTCGAGAACCAGACAGAACTGTTGTATAAAAATACCTTCTACATAATCATAACACACAGATATAGCCACTGTGATGGAGTTTGTACTTCAGCTCGTTGGATCGTATTGGTTTCTCACCTCATTCAGGCGATCTCAGACCGATTGTTTTGGCGTGGATCAGAGCTGGATTGTGTTGTTCACATATGCCCCAAAAAACCCACACTAAGGGAGCAAACGCCGCCAGGTTCCCAAACAAACGTCTAGGTGTACAAGCACCCTTAGAGTCTTTATTGGCTCTATAATCAGGCGTTCATCTTTGCACTTGTTCTTGTTTCAGTGTTGCGCCGTGTCCTTCATCGAGAAGCTTGATGCGCAATCGCTAAACTTGAGTCCTGAAGACTTCGAGCGCTACATGTCTGGAGCGACGTCTCCATCCGGCTGCAGCACACAGAATGGCTTTAGTGCGGCGGTCAGTAGCGCAGACGTCCCGCCGCTGGACCCGAAGAGGAACCATCACCAGAAAACAGCTCCGGAAACAGACCTCATCGAATGGAGGGATGGCCAGGAGCTCTCAGTGCTGGGTTTACTAGAAGGAGAAACACACACCAACACTGCGAACTTCACCATCGACTCAGAAAACATCGGTGGAGAGAGTCTGCCTCCGCCGTTACAGCCGCAGAAATTCACTGGTTAGCTCAAATCTCAACCGCACATAGACTGACATCGGCTGGAGACTCTTTCTCAGAGGTTAGTGATGGGCTCACAAACGCTGGGCTCAATTTAAACATCTGACAACCAGCAGTCCAGCGTAGTTCCTGCTTCACTTTCAAAATTGAGTAGAAGATAAGAGGAGAATTCATGTCTGATTTTAGGACCATCAAGATTTTGTTTTGTGCGTGTGTATGTGTGTGTGTGTGTGTGTGTGTGTGTGTGTGTGTGTGTGTGTGTGAGTGTGAGTGTGTGTGTGTGTGTGGTGTTGTGAAAAGATTAATAACTTGACATTATGCAATATTTATATGTCAGAAGAGTTGTTTCAAATGTCTGTGTGGTGTTGCGAATCCGTTCATTAGAAATCAAATATTTGTGGTTTTAAGATCATATTGCGCTGCAAATATATCCCTTTATTACTTAGAGATTGTCTCATTTCTTGTACAAATATCTAAAAAGAATTAAATCAAGAAGCATTTTTTACACAAGCAACAAATAATGTCATTTCAAATAAACAAAAAAAACAAGATTATTTTGCTTGTTTTAAGGAAAAAGTCACTTAATTTTGACATAATTTCTAGAAACAAAACAATATTTTTTTTACTCTTTTTGGGGCATTTTTCCTTTTTTTTGTATTATTAAAAAGTCTAAGAAATGCAGAATTAAAAAAAACAATTTAAATGGATCATTAAGAGCAGAGGTACCCAATCCAATTCAGACCCCTAGATCCAGACCCCTAGATCCAGACCCTTAGATCCAGATCCCCATATCCAGAGCCCCATATCCGGATCCCCATATCCGGACGCCAGATCCAGACCCCCCATATCCAGACCCCCCATATCCAGAACCCCAGATCCAGACCGCCAGATCCAGAATGCCTGATCCAGACCCCTCATATCCAGACCCCCATATCCAGACCCAATCCAATTCAAACACCAGATCCAGACCCCTAGATCCAGATCCCTAGATCCAGACCACAAGATCCAGATCCCCATATCTAGATCTCCATATCCGGTCGCTCGATCGAGACCGCCAGATTCAGACCGCCAGATCCGGATCCCCATATCCAGAACCCCATATCCAGACCCCCATATCCAGACCCCCCATATCCAGACCGTCAGATCCAGACCGCCAGATCCAGACCCCCATATGCAGACCGCCAGATCCAGAACGCCAGATCCAGATCGCCAGATCCAGACCCCCCATATCCAGACCGCCAGATCCAGACCGCCAGATTCAGACCACTATATCTAGACCACTATATCCAGACTGCCAAATTTCCAACCTAAACCTACCCCTTACAGTAACCGATTGGGTAACATCTACACCAACCCTAAGCCGACCCCTTACAGTAACATTTCAAATATTGACTAAGTTACTGTACGTTCAGAGGTTTATTCATGTCTATGTTGTTAGTGCTCATGCTAGTGGGTTACATTCTGCCTACAGTAGCGTCGTGCTGCTGAGTGCTTTGTTACTAGTACTAAATTCTAAAATCAGGTCAGTATTTCCAGTTTCTTCCATATTCTTAGCATCTTGTCCATTAATCCTAACTTAGTATCTTAAATATCTTAAAATTAAAGTGAGAAATACAAGGTGTGATGTGACTATATGAACTGGTTGAAATGTGTGTCTCTTGCTCTGCATGAGACTTGAGAACCCTGCTTTATGTATGCGCTCATTCTCATTAGGCACTGCAGTAACACTAATCAACCTACTCACGGCGAAAGCCTCTCCCACTTGGAAGCCTGGATCTATTGATCTGGATCTAGTGTGGCCTGATACACGCCGGTCTGCAGTTGGATATTGCTGGAAAGATCCTTGCTAGGTGTGACAGCTCCTCTTTGAAGAACTTAAAATCACACACGGCTGTATTCCAGAACATCTGCTTTCTGCAAAGGTCTGGTTCCAACCATAATCAGGCCGATTAGTTTAATGCAGAGGTGCTCAACCCTGTTCCTGGAGGTCTACCTTCCTGCAGAGTTCAGCTCCAACCCTGATCAAACACAACTAGGCAGGACCTGAAGGAGCACTTGTTAATTTAAGACAGGTGTGTTTGATCAAGGTAGAGTTTCAGGAACAGGATTGTGCACCCCTGGTTTAGAGCGTTAAAGGCATCGTACACCTCCCAAAACATAATTCAGCAAGACATAATTTATTTGCTTGTCTAGAAATGGCTTTGATTTAAGAGTATTTCGATATTTGGATTAAAATCAAGACTAAAACTCTCAGTAAGTAGACGTTTTGCAGTGCATATTGCCAAAAAAATCTCCATTGTCCAAATATGAGCTGTATTTGCTTGGCATTTCTTTTGATTTGAGGGTGAAATATGGACATGTGTTGAGGAATGTGAATGATGGGTGTGAATTTTAAGTTATTATTATTGCTTCTTGCACTGGTTTACAGCTCACTGAGATGTGAGAATTAATAACTTATTATTAGTGTATAGAACTCATTTCAGATCTCCCCTTATAATCCTTAAAGGGATAATTCACTCAAATATGAACGTTCACTCGCTATTTACACTCGCTTAGAAAGCTTCATGCTTCTTTCTTCTGTTGAATGCAAAAGAAGATATTTTGAAGAATGCTGAAAACCCATTGACTTCCATAGTAGGAGAAACAAATGCTATGGCCGTCAATGGTTACAGATTTAAATATCTTACTTTGTGTTTAACATAATAAGTGAAGGGTGGACAAATGATGACAGAATATTCATTTTTGGGTGAACTATGCCTTTAAGTGAAGTCTTCTGGTTGTTGTTGTCATCTGAATTAAAATTGAAAATGAGGACAGAACTAGTGTTGGTTAGTATAGCTGAGTCACCCAAAAGCTGACGTGCATTAATATTTGCTATGGTCATTGACATGCTCGGATTTGTTAAAGCATGCTGTGATAAACAGACAAACTTGAAATCACAGGTGTGGTTTAATACAGTGTTTCTCAACCACGTTGCTGGAGGACCACCAGCTCTGCACATTCTCCATGTCTCCTTATCCAAACACACCTGATTTAGTTCATAAGCTCATTAGCAGAGACTGAAACACCTGTGATGGGTGTGATGGACAAAGGAGGCATCCAAAACATGCAGTGCAGGTGCTACTCCGGGAACGTGGTTGAGAAACACTGCTTTAATAGACACCAGCTCATTCGTAAACATAGAATTAATCAATATAGTGAATTTTTCACATGGGTATCATTTTAAAACAGACATTTATAGTCATATATTTATTTTCTGAATGTTTAATTGTCCAGGAAATGCTGTTACAGAATGAAAGAAAACATACTAACTTAATTTTTTTAAAGACTTAAAGTAATAGTTCACCCCAAAAAAATGAAAACTACATATCATTTACTCACCCTTTAGCTGTTTCAAACCTTTATGAGCTTCTTTTTTCTGTTAAACACAAAAGTAGATATTTTGAAGAATGCTGAAAACCGGTAACCATTGACTTCTATAGTATTTATTTTTCCTACTATGGAAGTCAATGATTACCGTTTGTCAGATTTATTAAAAATCTACTTTAGTGTTCAGCAGAAGGAAGAAACTTTGGTTTGCAGCCAATTAAGGGTGAATAAATAATGCATAATCTTTTATTTCTGGGTGAACTGTCTCTTTAAACAACTGCTTGTTTTAAGCATACCTTCTGTCCGTTTGTTTCATGAAAATACTGCTTAATATGCATGCAAAGTAGCACTTTTGCTGTGGTCTGTAGTATCCCGTTATGAACAGTTTGTAACCTCATTTTTGTTATCTAAATGATTATGGTATGAAGCCAAAAATATGCTATTTAAAGAAGTATAATAAATGATCACCTGGAGGAAAAGAAAAAAGCTGCCGTCTCGAATTTGATCTCCGAGATGTTATTGGATGCTGTTCACACAAACTCATTCATTCTTTTTCCTTCAGCTTCGTCCCTTATTTATCAGGGGTCGCCACAGCGGAATGAACCACCAACTATTTTAGCATATGTTTTATGCAGCGGATGCCCTTCCAGACACAACCCAGTACTGGGAAACACACAAACACACTTATCCACACATACACACAAACACACCACAGTGTGATCTCAACCACTCTCACTGGCAGAGCTGTGATTAATCAAAACGTTATTGGCTGTTTTTTTAAAGGGGAGGAGCTACTCTGTCCCACACTCTCCTCATTTTTCAGTTGAGATTACATCAAACATTGAATAAAAGCATCAACCCAGGCTCATTCTGAAAACGTACCCCTATAAACATTTCTGGAGGGCGCCAAATATGTCCCAGGAGCTACGTTTTTTGCAGTTTTTGTTTTCACGACTCCACCAGAGGGCGCTGTGTACGCTTTTCAGATCTCAAATTTTCCTCGTGAGTGCCATTTGCGCCTGCTGTTCTCATGTAAATACACAAGAGGTCGCTATTGACTGACTGACTGACCGATCGACTGACCCACCCCCCTTTTTCCCCAAACCCAACCAATAGTATTTTCAAAAGCACCGATTGACCAGCGCCCACCCTCTTCCCTAAACCCAACCGATAGTGTTTTCAAAAGCAATCCAGAAAAACAAACGCCCTGATTTTTACCACGTTTCAGACTATTAGCACATTCTCACCCTGTTATTTACTTGTTTATTTAATTTAATTTAATTTTTTTATTCTGTTTTTGTCTTACCCACTTTCTGGGTAACCACATCGTCACCGTCAACTCCTAACTGCGCCTCCATTCCGCCGACATGGCGAGCTAACTGGGGAAACTAGTAATAGTGGAAAAGCCGTCCATATAGAGGAAATCAGTCAGCTGATAAGCGCGAAAAGGATCATACGTCATACCGCCCTGTAGCGTTCGTTTTAAAGACGAAATGCAGCCGTACGCTCCTCTGGCTACACAATTCATGATCTCCGGAAACGTATACAGATTTTTCAGAATGAGTCTGCGTTGAACTAAATGCACATTTAAAGCGCGGGAGATTTCAGTTAATACAAACAACAACAAAAATACATCATAATCAAAGTGATATTCCTTGCTTTATTTTATTACAAGTGTTAAGAAACCCAACAACCCAAAGCCTACATTGTGATTTGTGTTTTATACATTGCAGATAATTTGACGTTATATTTTGTTTACCTTACGAGTTATTAGCTCTTCATCAAAGCATACCGTCCTTCAAATATGATGGGGAATACTCAAAATATATATATTATAGAGGCTTATTGAGGCAGTAACAAGTTGAAATGATGATCTTTAGTCAGATCTTTATGGTCAAAATGATGAAAATCTGAGCACATAAGAACCCACTTCATTTAAAGTATAAAGTATCATCGACTAAGGTATACACTACCTGACAGAAGTCTTGTCGCCTATACAAGTTTTAGGAACAACCAATTCTAACTTGACTTCTAGTGGATGATTTGGTGTCAGAAGTGGCTAATATGAAAGGTAAAGGCCTCTAGATTTTGCTTATTTGAGCACAATAAAATCTGATCATGCCTTGATTATTAATTAATTGATTAGGACAGTGCGGTCTGACTCTGCTCAGACTAAAGTCTCATCACTGAACAGAAATAATGTTTATCTTAAACGCCTCCTCCGTCATCTTACCCCAGACATGCTCAATAATGTTCATGTCTGGTGACTGGGCTGGCCAATCCTGGAGCAGCTTGACCTTCTCTGCTTTCAGGAGCTTTGATGTGGAGGCTGAAGTATGAGCAGGAGCGCTATCCTGCTGGAGAATTGTCCCTCTCCTGTGGTTTGTAATGTAATGGGCAGCACAAATGTCTTGATACCTCAGGCTATTGATGTTGATCATCCACTCTGCAGATCTCTCGCATGATGAACCCCAAACCATGATGTCTCCTTCACCAAACTTGACTGATTTCTGTGAGAATCTTGAGTCCATGTGAGCAGTATTGGTGATGATTGGGATGCAGATCAGCAGATGATTCAGCAGAGAAATCCACATTCTGACACTTTTCCAAATGATAGAAGTCAAGTAATTATTGTTGCTCTTACAACTGGGATCCACCACAAGACTTTTGTCAGGCAGATTAAATTAATAATTTGATACAATGCACTTATTGTGTTGATGCACTTACAATGTATTCATTAACATCTACATTACAGTTAATAACAGCTGTTATCAGTTCTAGTATTTACATCTGTAATTGCGCTGTTGAGCCAACACCTACCCCTTATAAACTCTTAATCACACCTTAAAACCTACGACTAACCGAACCTTAAATTGAATGATTGCAGTGTGCAACAGCATTCGCCATCTGCGTTTTGCAATACAACATAAACACAATAAATATATTGTAACTCATAATTCATATATATTTCTGATGCATGCAGTAGTTAAAGACACATTATATGATGGGACTGTAAAATAAAGACTGTATACAAAAAGTCTGCATACTACAACTCGGATTAACTGCATGAAGACTAAGCTTTTAATGGAAGCATTTAGGAATTTTAACTTAATGACTGTCCTTAAATAATAATAAAAAAATTGCGACTATAAAACCTTATGATGCATGGGTTTATTTTTGAAGATAGCCAAAAAAACATTCTAAATGATTGTTTTTTAAAATCTTTTAAATATTAAGTGAATATCTTTTGCCATGACAATATTTTGAAAGTGTTCTGCTGTAAATATATCAAAACTTTACATGTTTCATTAGTAATGTGCATTGCTAAGAATGGAATTTGCTCAAATTTAAAGATGATTTTCTCAATATTTCGATTTTATTGTGCCTCGGATTCCAGATTTTTATATACAGATACACTGTAAAAAAAAAAAAAAGTTGACTCAACTCAAAATTGTAAGGCAACTTGCTGCAGAGCTTTTTTTGAGTTGACTTAACTTTCAACCCAAGTACTGCACTTGATAATGTAAGTTGAGTCAACTCAAAAAAGCTCTGCAGCAAGCAAGGGGCAACCCCGCGCTCTCCCTCGTGAAGCCAATACGGAAGTAACTGAAACTGCAATTCATCATCTCGCCTTTAGGGGCTGGCTCCATTAAATCCAGGTGTTCACTGACTGCAGTGCTAAATTGTGCAATTTTGCAGCTTATAAAAACATGTTTACAGCCTGGTACAAAAGATGGCTTTGGTGCATATAGCTAATATTAGCCTTCATGACAACTGTGAGGAGGGTGAACTTTTTTATAACTTAAGTTATATTAAGTCTGCATAATTAAGGGCGTGGCCACTTGAGTGACCGCTAGGTCTTGCTGGTCGCTCAGCTGATTCCGGCTGATTAGCCGCTGAACTCGGCATATTCATTGTATTTTTTTGTTGTTTTATGTGGATTTACACAGTCAGTTGCCTTTTGCAATTATTTCCTTCAATTATCAGATGATATGGCATGCTGTGTGCACTTAATTGTGCTCGCAAACCATTCAGGTGGCCTCCATGTCCCACGTGAGTGCATTTCTTATATACTTATATGCCATATCTATAAATGCATTTGTTTTATTTAGGATAATTCATCATTTATAATGTTCTTTAGAGCTGTAATGCACTCCAGAATCTGACAGATTGATTAGCTGTTAGCTCTAGAACAGTCATCTGGAGCGTTGTCATACAGTACAATGCCTGGATTTCATTAGTAGACTTTCATTTACTAACTCAGACTATATCTGAAGTGTTTGCAAGTTGGTGTGATGACAGGTGAACAAAATTGTGATGTTTGGCCACGCCTACTCGTAGCTTTTTTGGGTTCTTCAGAAACCTATGGATATGACTACGTCCATATCTTTTACAGTCTATGGAAGCAAGTTGCCTTACAATTTTATGTTGAGTCATCCTGTTTTTGCAGTGTAGTTGTATCTTGACCAAATAATGCTCTACCCTAACAAACCATACATCTATGGAAAGCTTAATTGTCAGCTTTCAGATGAAGTATTTTCCAAAAATTGACACATATGACTGGTTTTGTGGTTCAGGGTCACTTTGTAAATTAGACTTAATGTAGTCCAGTAAAATTACAATCCGATGTAGTTACAATAGTATCAGTAGTGTTGGCCGATGCTCATTAAAACAGTACACGTCTGCCTCTCTGTCGTAACACTACACAAAATTGGTCATAAAATGGTCGTAATTTCATGTAAAGTTCAGTTGTAGATTGAGTTCATGTCCACACGTACACGGGTATTGTTTTAAGCGGGGTTTTCCCTACTTTCGTTTTATTAAAAAATCTCCGTCCACATAAAACTGCAAAAGTGCACTGTGATGCATGGTGAGGGCATGCCGAACCAACAGGGGGCGATAATGTCACTTATCCTGGGTCCACACCAAATGGGAATTAACACGAGTAAATAGCATACAAATCAATGCAAACATGAGAACAGAGGTGGATAACCATCCTTCGGGCGAACGTCGCAAAATATGCAATGGTTTTGCCACAAATGTGCAGAATTTTGCGTTTGGTGTGAACCCAAGTGTGTTGGCCAATCAGAAATAAGAAAACAGTGCTTACGCTTAGGTCATGAGGCAAACACTCTGGCTGTAGTATCCGCATGTCCACACTGTACCCGGAGTTTTGAAAAATCTTCACCCTGACCAGAGTTTTCAGAAAGTTTCAGTCACCTGACCCGTGCTGTCATGTGGACAAACAGCCGAAACCGTGTAGAAAAAAAGTACCTGTGTTCGTGTGGACAGAGCCTAAGCCTTGGAAAGAGTGTTAGTCAGGGTAAAGCAGGAACCCGGAGAAGGTGCTGTCATCCTCACTGCTGGAGTAAACACCATTCCAGTCTCTCAGCGTCTCCACCCATACCTGGTCTCCGACGTCCAGCTTCAGGATCACTAGATTGGATGCCTGGTCAATGTCCTGAGGTTGAAGAGTGTCCCTCGAGCGTACCTTGCGCACCCCGTTCACCACTAAAGAAGCACGTAGTGGTTTGTTCCTCACTGTGATTTGGTAGGAGAACACATAAACTCCAGAGTAGCTGCAGTTGAATTTGCATGAGACTACGTCGTAATGATTTTCCCCATTGTAGAAGACCTTGTCAAAGCGGACTGGAAATCCTGAAGGAGGAAAAGACTTGCTGGGATATAGTCCAACACTGAAAGCGGATCTGATTCTCGAATCGCTTGTACCCATGGCACCCTTCATTCCCCGTAGGCCTCGATCTCCACGCTTCCCCTGGGGGCCGCGGTCACCCTTGATTCCCCTGAGACCTCTCAAGCCTTTGGTTCCAGGTGGCCCTTGTATTCCTGGCTCACCCTTTGGTCCTGGAGTTCCTGGTTCCCCTCGTTCTCCAGTGATGCCTGGATTTCCATGCATGCCATGTTGCCCAGAAGGACCAGGATCTCCACGCACACCTGGCGACCCAGGGTCCCCAGGCTCACCTTTCTGGCCCCTGTCGCCAAGCAAACCGCACTCTCCTCTCTCCCCCTTTTCACCCTTTTCACCAGCTGAGCCTTGGGGTCCTGGAAGTCCATCTTTGCCTGGCTCTCCCTGGTCGCCTTTTGACACATTAAAGTTGGGATCTCCCTTTTCTCCCTTTTCTCCTTTGAATCCTGGCAGGCCAGCAGCACCCTTCTCACCTTTATTACCCATCTCACCTGTTTAGTAAAAAATAAAGATTTCATTTATTTGTTATACTCGGTTTAACATTTACTTGTGTTTCCAGAGGGATCTAATAGACCTCTACGTTCACCTTTCATTCCAGCCTTTCCCTGGTTTCCTGGCGTTCCAGCGAATCCTGTGTTTCCTTGATCACCTTTCTCTCCTGATACATTACATTGGACATCTCAAGCATGCATTTGTATAGATATAATGATATAATGTCATTTATATAATGTACTTCCTAAGCTCTTACCTTTATCCCCTTTAGATCCTGAGTTGCCCTTTGGCCCTATTGGGCCTGGTAGACCACTTGGTCCAGGTGCTCCCTTTTCCCCTGGGGGTCCTGCAACATAGCGTTAAACAACTGTGAGGTCGGGTCTAGGGTTGGTGTAGGTGTAGTAGATGCTAATAAAAACACATCAGGTTACTGTGAGGTTGAGTTTAGGGTTGGTGTAGGTGTATTGTGGTTTGACAGGGTGTGCGTGACGTGCCTGAAGAGCGAGGAGGGATGCGGTGTGAAGGGATGAGAATGGTGTGTGACGTATTTGAGGACTGGAAGGGAGACACGAGACTTCTGGGAGATTATCACTCATTTACGGGCATCCAGGAGTCTCTGTGCATTTGCGGGAGACTCCCGGAACTTCCGGGAAACTTGGGATGTCTGGAATGACCTCCTGCCCTACTCATAATTCACTCTTCATATATCCGTATGCCTATTACATATCCATAAACCACTGTGATATAGCCCGGCTCAAATCATATCGCTGTCTCACTACAATCGATCCGCTACAGAGTTCGTTTCAATCAAGTTGAGTACACCTCATTCAGGCGATCTCGGCCTGATTGTTTTGGCACGGAGCCGAGCTCAGTTGCTGGATTCACATATGCCAAACAAATCGCGCTACCTGGGCAAACGAGACAGGTTCCTAAACAAAAGTCTAGGCGTGAAAGCACCCTAAGGTTGCGCTTAGGGTTGGTGTAGGGGTAGTAGATGCTAATAAAACACATCAGGTTACTGTGAGGTTGAGTTTAGGGTTGGTTTAGGGGTAGTAGATGCTAATAAAACACATCAGGTTACTGTGAGGTTGGGTTTAGGGTTGGTGTTGGTGTAGTAGGTGCTAATAAAACACATATAGCCGGGCTCGGATCGTATCACTTTCTCACAACAATTGATCCACTCCAGAGTTTGTTTCAATCGAGCCGAGACCACCCCATTCAGACGATCTTAGCCTGTTTGTTTTGGCGCGGATCTGAGCTCAATTGCTGGATTCACATATGCCAAACGAACCGCGCTACCTGGGCAAACGAGACAGGTTCCGAAACAAAAGTCTAGGCGTGAAAGCACCCCAAGGTTGAGCTTAGGGTTGATGTAGGTGTAGTAGATGCTAATAAAGCACATCAGGTTTCTGTGAGGTCGGGTTTAGGGTTGGTGTAGGTGTAGTGTGGTTTGACAGGGTGTGCGTGACGTGTCTGAAGAGCGAGGAGGGATGCGGTGTGAAGGGATGAGAATGGTGTGTGACGTATTTGAGGACTGTAAGGGAGACACGAGACTTCTGGGAGATTATCACTCGTTTACTGGCATCCAGGAGTCTCTGTGCATTTGCGGGAGACTCCTGGAACTTCCGGGAGACTTGGGATGTCTGGAATGACCTCCTGCCCTACTCATAATTCACTCTTCATATAGCCGTATGCCTATTACATATCCATAAACCACTGTGATATAGCCAGGCTCGAATCATATCGCTGTCTCACTACAATCGATCCGCTCCAGAGTTCGTTTCAATCAAGTTGAGTACACCTCATTCAGGCGATCTCGGCCTGATTGTTTTGGCACGGAGCCGAGCTCAGTTGCTGGATTCACATATGCCAAACAAATCGCGCTACCTGGGCAAACGCGACAGCTTCCTAAACAAAAGTCTAGGCGTGAAAGCACCCTAAGGTTGCGCTTAGGGTTGGTGTAGGGGTAGTAGATGCTAATAAAACACATCAGGTTACTGTGAGGTTGAGTTTAGGGTTGGTTTAGGGGTAGTAGATGCTAATAAAACACATCAGGTTACTGTAAGGTTGAGTTTAGGGTTGGTGTAGGGGTAGTTGATTCTAATAAAACACATCCGGTTACTGTAAGGTTGAGTTTAGGGTTGGTGTAGGGGTAGTAGATGCTAATAAAACACATCAGGTTACTGTGAGGTCAGGTTTAGGGTTGGTGTAGGGGTCGTAGATGCTAATAAAACACATCAGGTTACTGTGAGGTTGAGTTTAGGGTTTGTGTAGGGGTAGTAGATGCTAATAAAACACATCAGGTTACTGTGAGGTCAGGTTTAGGGTTGGTGTAGGGGTCGTAGATGCTAATAAAACACATCAGGTTACTGTGAGGTCAGGTTTAGGGTTGGTGTAGGGGTCGTAGATGCTAATAAAACACATCAGGTTACTGTGAGGTTGAGTTTTGGGTTGGTGTAGGGGTAGTAGGTGCTAATAAAACACATCAGGTTACTGTGAGGTTGAGTTTAGGGTTGGTGTAGGGGTAGTAGATGCTAATAAAACACATCAGGTTACTGTGAGGTAGAGTTTAGGGTTGGTGTAGGAGTAGTAGATGCTAATAAAACACATCAGGTTACTGTAAGGTCGGGTTTAGGGTTGGTGTAGGGGTAGTAGATGCTAATAAAACACATCAGGTTACTGTGAGGTTGGGTTTAGGGTTGGTGTAGGGGTAGTAGATGCTAATAAAACACATCAGGTTACTGTGAGGTTGAGTTTTGGGTTGGTGTAGGGGTCGTAGATGCTAATAAAACACATCTGGTTACTGTAAGGTTGAGTTTTGGGTTGGTGTAGGGGTAGTAGGTGCTAATAAAACACATCAGGTTACTGTGAGGTTGAGTTTAGGGTTGGTGTAGGGGTAGTAGATGCTAATAAAACACATCAGGTTACTGTGAGGTAGAGTTTAGGGTTGGTGTAGGGGTCGTAGATGCTAATAAAACACATCAGGTTACTGTGAGGTAGAGTTTAGGGTTGGTGTAGGAGTAGTAGATGCTAATAAAACACATCAGGTTACTGTGAGGTAGAGTTTAGGGTTGGTGTAGGAGTAGTAGATGCTAATAAAACACATCAGGTTACTGTGAAGTTGAGTTTAGGGTTGGTGTTGGTGTAGTAGATGCTAATAAAACACATCAGGTTACTGTGAGGTTGAGTTTTGGGTTGGTGTAGGAGTAGTAGATGCTAATAAAACACATCAGGTTACTGTGAGGTAGAGTTTAGGGTTGGTGTAGGAGTAGTAGATGCTAATAAAACACATCAGGTTACTGTGAAGTTGAGTTTAGGGTTGGTGTTGGTGTAGTAGATGCTAATAAAACACATCAGGTTACTGTGAGGTCGGGTTTAGGGTTGGTGTAGGAGTAGTAGATGCTAATAAAACACATCAGGTTACTGTGAGGTTGAGTTTTGGGTTGGTGTAGAGGCAGTAGATGCTAATAAAACACATCAGGTTACTGTGAGGTTGAGTTTAGGGTTGGTGTAGGGGTCGTAGATGCTAATAAAACACATCAGGTTACTGTGAGGTTGAGTTTAGGGTTGGTGTAGGGGTCGTAGATGCTAATAAAACACATCAGGTTACTGTGAGGTTGAGTTTAGGGTTGGTGTTGGTGTAGTAGATGCTAATAAAACACATCAGGTTACTGTGAGGTTGAGTTTAGGGTTGGTGTAGGAGTAGTAGATGCTAATAAAACACATCAGGTTACTGTGAGGTTGAGTTTAGGGTTGGTGTAGGGGTAGTATATGCTAATAAAACACATTAGGTTACTGTGGAGTTGCATTTAATGTGGCAAGTGAGGACATTTCTAAAATACAATGGGTTGGACTCTTTGTCATGTACTAGACATTAAACAAATGAAAAATCAACACTTAAAGCCCAAGTCCCACACATTTAGAGCTGGCTCTGACCTCCCTGAATGAGCCTGTGTTAATAAAATCATTGTATTCCAGAGAGACATGAAAAAACCCTCTATTAACTTATATAAATAGGGATGACTTGACTTGGCTAACCTGGCAGTCCCATGTCTCCTTTGAACCCTTGTGGGCCTTTCTCCGGTGGGCAGCACTCGCAGAAGTTGAAGTAGCATTCGTTGTAGTCTAGCGTGTAGTTGTCTTTGGCTGCGGTGGGAGATGCGCTGGTGTCTGTAGGGTAGTCTATGTAGCTGTCAGCAGTCACTGTAGTGCTCTCTGTCACGTACACAGGGGTGCGCTGCTCTCGTGTTTTCGTGTAGTCCACAATCCGTGCTGTGACCGTAGGCTTTCCTGCATATGTGGTGGTTTGGACCACCTCTCTAGGGGGTTTCTTGGTGTACTGATACTTTGGCCTCTGAGTGGGTTTGAATGTGTCGCACAGGATTATAAAGGTCAGTGCCAAAACAGTTACCAAGACGGAGCGTGCACAGAACATCCCCATTTTCTGTCTGTCGAGAAAGAGGAGAGATGAGAGCATTCATAAAACCTCATACGTCAAGTCTGATTGGACTAATGCAATTTATTTACATTAATGTGTAAAGGTGGTGGAAGCCACAGGAGTACAGTTAGTCAGAATTATTCACCCCCTCTACATTTTCTGTTTAACATAGAGATTTCTTTTACTCATTTCTAATCATAATAGTTTTAACTAGATTATTAAAGTTCGTCGAGACAAACTTTAGGCTGGCTTGAGAAACTCTGTTGGAAATAGTTTGTTTAATTTAAACAGTTTTAAAAAGTATGAAACGAAGATAGATAGATAGATAGATAGATAGATAGATAGATAGATAGATAGATAGATAGATAGATAGATAGATAGATAGATAGATAGATAGATAGATAGATAGATAGAAGCAGTTTGAAAAAGGATAGATAGTTTTGAGGTCACAAAGTTAGATCTATTGTTAAGTCAATGACAGTCTTTTGCAATAAAAGTCTATGGGACAGTTGTTGCTAGGGTGCAGTATCTGGTAGTTAGGGTGTGGCTAGAAAGTTAAAAGCTCATCAGTTATTGGCAGTTTAGTAGTCTAAGTTAAATGAGCTCAGCCATTAGTCTGGTGGACAGTCTGATGCAGAGTTATGAGCTCACAAAGTTTGATCCCATGTTAAGTCAATGAGAGTCCTTTGAATGGAAGTCTATGGGACAGTTTCTAGGGTCCAAAAGTGGTTGCTAGGGCGTGGCCAGAAAGTTAAAACCTCATCAGTTATTGGCAGTTAGGTAGTCTGAGTTAAATGAGCCCAGTTAGAAGTCTGTGTGAAAGTCTGATGCAGAGTTATGAGGTCACAAAGTTTGGTCCAATGTTAAGTCTATGGGATTTTTCAGACGGTCCCGGGACGTTTTTCGGAAAATCGTAAGTCGGATCAGTCGGAAAAGATATAGCATACCGAGTCAGAATAGTTTGGAGGTCTGGTCTGAGTTTGGGGGTCATAGCTCGAAAGCTCTAGGAGGAGATAGAGTTTGAATTTTAGTCTCAGAAGAAGAAGAATAATATATAAAAAAAATAATAAGTTTAAATAGGATTTCAGTAGTCTGGCTTGTTTCTCAAGCCAGCCTAATAACTAATTTCTAATAACTGAATTATTTTCTCTTTTTCATGATGACAGCACATAATATTAGACTAGATATTCTTCAAGACACTATTATTCTGCTTAAAGTGACAATCAAAAGGCTTAACTTGGTTAATTAGGCAAGTTAGGGAATAATGAAATAAATATGAAGTGTGATAGCCTGAAGCTGCTCCACCTGTAAGAGAAGAGAGTCATAGTGAGAAGCACATGAGAAGAGAGCGAAAGTGCGTTCTCAGGCAGACTCTATAGCAGACTATCTAGAACCTCGGCACAGTGGTCACATTTCTTTACGTGTCTAATGTGTGGCGCTTTTGTGACATAGAATACTGGACCCTCATGAATCGAGCCATCCAACCAGTAGCAAACGGGGACAGAAAAAAAAAATAGCAGTCTGGCAGCTGGACCAGGGGGCGACGTGACACATGATCCAGGGAGAATTTCTTCAGCAACTCTCTGGATGCACTAATGGATGGACGGGTGCCAAACACGCAGCCTTCATACACACAACAACACCTTATAGACTGATTATCGAAACTTCATTCTCAGTCTGGAGTAGTTTGTGACGATATGATATGCGATTCTGGATTTCTGTAGCATTCGGTGAGTCCAGAACCTGCCAGCTGAATATAACGGACTCAGTCAGGAAATCAGAGTCTCATTCCAATCTGTTTGGTGTCACTCCAAAAAAGCTTTTGTCCAAAAGAGCAGCGATAATCTCAGGAGCTCACTTCAGCCTGTTTTCTGGAGGGAAATGGCTAATCTAAAGAAGCTGCTTTTGAGGTAAAATGAAGGCTACTGGCAGCCAGCGACCATGACCAGCTTAGTGTGTGTGTGTGTGTGTGTGTGTCTTACGTTAGACATTCGCACACAGCCTTTTGAATTTAAAGGGTTAGTTCACTCAAAATGTATAATTCTGTTAGTAATTACTCCCCCTTTGTCATTTTAACCCCCCGTCATTCATCTTCAGAGATAGTGAAGGGAAGTTTGAATCATTTTACTGACTCAGACCTTTGAATTTTATTCATCGAGTCATTTTGTTTACTTCATTCAATTTGCAAATATTATTAAAGTGTTACGAGCTGCTTCCAAAGTCATCTACAGCTAGCTCAAACGTTGATCACACTACAAACAAGTCATTACTAGAATTCTGTAAGAAGAGAATATATTAATTTACTGTTTACCTTTCCCTGCTGAAAACAGCATAAACTAAGCTGGTTTGCTAGTTTTAGCTGGTTGACCAGCCTAGTTTTAGACCAGTTTTTGCCATTTTCAGGCTGGTTTCAGACATTGCCGTCCTGGTTTTAGCTGATCAGGCTGGGAGATGACCATCTTAAACCAGCTTAACCAGAAAAAACAGATATCTCCTTATTAAACCAGGCTGGTCAAGCTGGTTTTAGATAGTTTTAGCTGGTCATTTACCTGGAAATGTCTGGTTGGAAATATCTGAAACCAGCCTGGAAATGGCCAAAACCCCTCTAAAACCAGCTTGACCAGCAAAAACCAGTTATGTCCATCTTAAACCTGGCTGGTCAAGCTGGTTTTAGCAGGTCTTTTTCCAACCTGACTAGCTAAGACTAGGCTGGAAATGTCTTAAACCAGCCTGGAAATGGCCTAAACCCCTCTAAAACTAACTTGACCAGCCAAAACCAGCTATGTCCATCTTAAACCAGGCTGGTCAAGCTGGTTTTAGATAGTTTTAGCTGGTCATTTACCTGTAAATGTCTGGCTGGAAATGTCTTAAACCAGCCTTGAAATGGCCAAAACCCTTCTAAAAACCAACTTTACCAACCAAAACCAGCTATGTCCATCTTAAACCAGGCTGGTCAAGCTGGTTTTAGCAGGTCTTTTTCCAACCTGACCAGCTAAGACCAGGCTGGAAATGTCTTAAACCAGCCTGAAAATGGCAAAAAACCCTCTAAAACCAACTTGACCAGCCAAAACCAGCTATGTCCATCTTAAACCAGCCTGGTAAATCTGGTTTTAGATAGTTTTAGCTGGTCATTTACTTGTAAATGTCTGGCTGGAAATGTCTTAAACCAGCCTGGAAATGGCCAAAACCCCTCTAAAACCAACTTGACCAGCCAAAACCAGCTATGTCCATCTTAAACCAGGCTGGTCAAGCTGGTTTAAGCAGGTCATTTTCCAGCCTGACCAGATTATATCAGGCTGGAAATGTCTGAAATCAGCTTGGAAATGGCAAAACCCCCTCTAAAACCAGTTTGACCCGCCAAAACCAACTATGTCTATCTTAAACCAGGCTGGTCAAACTGGTTTTAGCAGGTCTTTTTCCAACCTGACCAGCTAAGACCAGGCTGGAAATGTCTTAAACCAGCCTGGAAATGGCCTAAACCCCTCTAAAACCAACTTGACCAGCCCAAACCAGCTATGTCCATCTTAAACCAGCATGGTAAATCTGGTTTTAGATAGTTTTAGCTGGTCATTTACTTGTAAATGTCTGGCTGGAAATGTCTTAAACCAGCCTGGAAATGGCCAAAACCCCTCTAAAACCAACTTGACCAGCCAAAACCAGCTATGTCCATCTTAAACCAGGCTGGTCAAGCTGGTTTTATCAGGTCGTTTTCCAGCCTGATCAGCTTAGACCAGGCTGGAAATGTCTGAAATCAGCTTGGAAATGGCAAAACCCGCTCTAAAACCAGCTTGACCAGCCAAAACCAACTATGTCTATCCTAAACCAGGCTGGTTAAGGTTTAGAAGGCATCATTAGAAGCTAAATCATCACATGGGTTCAGGACTACTGTGGCAAACCTTTGTCAAGTACCACAATACAAAGTTACATTCACAAATGCCAGTTAAAACTGTACTGTGCCAAAAGGAAGCCCTATGTTAACAGTGTCCAGAAGCGCTGTCGACTTCTCTGGGCTCCGAGTCATCAGGGATGGACCATCACACACTGGAGACGTGTACTGTGGTCAGATGAATCAGTATTTCAGGTATTTTTAGGAAGAAATGGACGCAGTGTGCTCTGGAACAAAGAAGAAAAGGATCCTTAAGACTGTTACCAGCAAGTCCAAAAGCCAGGGTAACTTGCTCTTCTGTGGTGCACCATTAATGCTGAAAAGTACAGAGATAATTTGGAGCACAATTTGCTGCCCTCCTTTCCAGGCATATTCCAACAAGAATAAGCACATTCTGCACACATTACAAAGTCCTGGCTGTGGAGGAAGAGATTACAGGCACTTGACTGGCCTGCCTGCAGTCCCGACCTGTCTCCAATAGAGAATGTGTGGCGCATTCTAAAGCACAAAACATGACACTGAAGACCACATACTGTTGCCCACCTTAAGACTTGTTTGCAGGAAGAATAGGACAAAACTACACCTGAAACACTTCATCACTTGCTGTCTTCAGTCCCTAAACGTCTTTAAAGTGTTGTGAAAAGGAACGGCGACATTACAAAGTGGCAAATGCTTTACTGATACAACTGTTTTTGAAATGTGTTGCACGAACCAAAACAGGAACACGTGTTTAGTTTTTTAGGTTTGTCATAAAAAATCAAGTCAAAGTAAATTTAGAAATCACTACTTTCTTTTTTATTAAGTTGTGGCTCCAACTTTTTCTGATTTGGGGTTGTTAGTGTTTACGTTTTCCTTGAAGTCTTCAATGGTTGGCATCATCACGTATCAATTGTTTATGTAGACGCAAATATAAATGTACTGTTATATTTATATTCACAGTTGCCTGATCTGAACAGGCCTTTATAGTACAGAATGTGCCAGTCTTATTTATATTTTAAAGAAACATAGCTCAAATGTGTGTTCATCTTCTTCTTTAACATCTCTGTCATCACATCCTATGACCTCTGGAATTAATGATGCTGAAAAACAGCCTTAAAGAGCGTCTGGTATATATATATATATGCACACAGCCTTTTCATTTTCAGCCAGCCAGGCCAA